ATGAAAAAAGCTGGGAGGACAGAAGGGAATCTGCCCAGCAGTCCCTTCTCCTGTCCCTGCTCCGACCCTTCAGGTCCTGTGGTCTGAATGGACCTCAGCTCTCCATAACCCTGAATGGGCCACCAGAAGGGAAGCTCCCTTTGCAACCATCATTGCTACATATGTTGCAAGCAGTGTGTTGAAAAGTCAGTTGTACCTATGGAGCAGCCAGCAGGAAAGAATGAGGGAAAGTCATTAAGAGGAGCAAGCCTGAGTTTTGGGCTTGCATGTAATGGCAAATGGGCTCTTCTTATATATGCAATCCAATTAGAGTCCATTGGCTGCAAAATGGTTAACTTAATCTGTAATTACAGTTTGCTAACCAGCTCTTTAGCTGCTGTTACACAGTAACAGGGAATGCTGCCTGGTCCTCATCCCTGTTGGAGGTATGTGGGCTATGGGTGCGTTCCCTTTCTTCCCTCTCTTCCTTCCTTCTCCCATAGCAAGCTCTTCCAAGAGCTCCTCTGTGAGCTTGCTGTGGATGTTCAACATTATGCCTGTGACTTTAGGAACAGTAACTTCTAATGCGTGCTTTTCTAAGAAAATAGACTTGCAGAAATAATATCATCAGCCTGCTGAGCTTCTTCGGGGTTTATAGAACCTAATGTTCTGTCTATTTCTGGCATCTGGCTATTACAGCATGTTTTAGTTGCATTAAGTAGTCAACAATAAGCAAAGCAAAGGCTTGAATTATGCGTGTATGGAAATAATGAGGCGAAGTCACGGATGGCTCTATTTCTGCACAGACAGCAAGTGGCTATCTTAACAAAATGCTTTCAGATAGCTACTGCCGTATTTTAGATCATTTTGGCATATACTTATGCAATGTATTTGATTTTCTTTTGCTGTGTGGAGAGAGAAGGAGCACAGGCAATGTGTAATGGGCAAGCGTTCTTCGGTTACTCTTTCATTTCTGTTTCCTTATCAGCAAAACATAAATCTGCAGCATGCTGACAATGAAACCATATGGTAACTCTTCCTGACAAATTGATTTTGCAATGCAGACAACCCTGTCTCTGCATGGAAGGAGGCTTTTTGGATTATTTTGTCTTAATTCTCACTTTACTCTTTAAGTTTCAGCACCTGGAAATTATATATTTGGATGTTTCTGAACTCAGTGGTTTGTGTGAATTAAGAATTCACACAGCATGCTCAACTTTAGTGTTTTTACTTTGGGGGCAGTTATTTGTCATGTGAAATAATGCATTTATTTGCTATAGCCAATGCCCTCCTATCCTGTCAGACAGCAGCATCAGATTCCAATACTTTCTGAATGTTGAATATCCTCTTAGTGTGAACTGAAGAAATGCATGGTATGATCTCTTTCTTTACGAGAGCGTTCAGGTATGCCCATAGGATAAGGATGCTCCTTATGCCCAAGCTGGCCCATTGATGGCCTCTGGTTTGCAATGACTGCAGCTGAAGCAGTGCTTTGGGTGGTGGGCAGCATGGATGAAGTGCTTTGTGAATCCTGTGCAATGAGTGAATGAACCAGCAGTTATCTTCACAGCTTCTCTTAGAGCTCAAAATCAAGAGGCCCTTTGCTTCATAGGGCTGAGTGAGTTTTCTTCATGTGCTTAGAGGTAGCAGCCTGTATCTGAAAATGTAAGCAGAGCACAACCTGGTGAACTGGTGAACAACTTATGAGTCATGGGAAGTAGGTTTGGGAGACACAACAGATCTAGGAGGGAAGCCATGAAACTTATCAAAACTAAACAGCACATCATGGATAGGGACGTTTATTGTGGACTACTCACACATGGCTGATAGGCTCACAGTAATGCCTTGCAAAGTCCTCCCAGCTGTAAGTGCTGCCTGCCAAGCGTCGCTCTGTGGGGCTTGAGATGCAGCTGTTGCAAAAGTGAAATAAGCAATATTTATGGTTCTTATTTGACATTACGTTTCTGACTAGTGACAGTTAAGGCAATCCAAGGCATGATATTTTCTAGATATTTAGAAAATAAATACAAATTGAGATGAAAACCTGGCCAGTGAGTGTCTGTGCAGTGCTGGTGTTTTACTTCAGCACAGTGCAGCCTCCATCACAGACCTCAGCTGAAAACAAAAATTCCTCCTTGTAGCAGGTGTAGTCGAACAAGCATGCCTGGAGAGCATTCAGAGGCTAGATCCATGCAGAACATCTTTGTACAAATACGAAGCACAGTGAAAGAGTAATTTTCAAGAAGTGGAAGGATGAAAGTAACCTGGGAGAAGAGTGGGTGCAATGAGTAACTGCAAGGACTTCATGGATCATTAATAGAAAGGGATGTTAGAGCTCACAAGAGAGATTCGCAAATGAATTATTAGAAGATTATTGCCAAAGAAAATTAGGGCAAATCTGATCCAGTGGTTTTAAATTTGAACTTGGATAAAATTCAGAAGCTCGTACTGGCAAAAATCCCATCTATGTGTTTCAATAAAAGCCATTATTAAAAAAAAAAAGAAAAAGAAAAAAAAAGCCTTTAATGTTTTGATGCTGGCCAAAGAAGAAATGGTGTTTAAAAGCTCGAAGAAGAAGAAGAAACAGCATTTCTTGTATGGCCAGATGCAGATACGTGGAGTACAGTTGATGAACTTTTAGCTAAGGTTCTGTGTAAACACAAGTATAGAAGCTTTCAAAATTTTATCACTTATTGGATGTTGTCAAGAGGAGTCTCAGAATTACTGCCTCAGTTACATCCGTGCAGGAATGTCATCTGGGGATGACATAATGCTATTACAGCCCTGGCCAAAGCAAGGAAATAACCACAGCTTAATGGGACTCTGGCAAAGGAGAGGCTGTTGCAGATCTCTGTAATGATCAAGTGAAGGAAGTATTTTTAAATAATAATGACGAAAGGTCACTGACATTCTGAGGTTTTAATCATTCAACATATGCAATTATGGGCAAGGACAACGCAGGAAAGTGTGAAAGAGTGCTGGCAACAGCCATGTGTTAGTCAGAATGGCCAATGGTGGATTACAGATTAAAAAAAAAAATCTTAGAAGAAAACATCAAGAGATAAATTACCTGTTCTTTGGCTGTGCGATGATTCCAGGTAAACTGGCAAGTCTGCTGAAAGAGTCTAATGAGGACTGCTTAGGAGGCTGAGGAAACATAATTTGAATCAAACTTGGCTCTGAGATACTTTCTGCATCTCTTGCAGCTAGAAGTGTCACTACATGAGCTCTAACTATGTGATCTGGTACCTAAAAGTGGCCTTGAAACTGTAAAATGCAATGATGTGGGTCTTTGGCAGATTATGATGATGGCTTTTCAGAGCATCTTGGGTGTTTAAGGTGAAGAGAGAGGCTGGTAACACTCCAGAGTGAGGTAGAAGATGATCCAGCTCACACATCAGTGTGTTCCGGCATCAGATGTTGGAAGGAAGGACAGGAGATAAGGGAAATGACATTCCAGAAAAGATTTGCTCTTGTAAAGGCAAGTTGCTGCCATTCTGAGGGCCTGAAAGAGAAGGCAAAACGAACAGTAATAACCTATGTGGAATTAAGAAAGGCATGTTTTTAAAGTGCAGTCCTCAGTGCATATTTACTTAGATTAGACCAGTAATTGACACTGCGGTTTTATTTGGTGTTTTGCTGAGATTCCTCTGGTTTTGGTTTTCCAGGGATTGGGTTTTTCAAGAGCGTAGACTGAAGATGAGTCAGCGGTAAGCCCATCTCCTGCAGTCTGAGCAGAGCAGCTTAGAGTTAATTAATGACTGGAGGGTTTTTTGGTATGAAAAATGAAATAGATTTGATATCAACATTGTAGCTCTGTCCAAGTGTTCTTGAGGAGACTATTAAAACTCTCAATTTCTTTCTACTTGTACATGTGGAAGGCCTATTTTCTCTCCCTTATTATTTTCTGTGCCATTTTGGTGTTTGCCACTCTGGCCTTGCAAGAGCAATCCCATTGCCTCTGAGCTGCCTGTGGACCTGCTGAAGTCATCTGCAAATCAGCTGAGAGAAGGGAAGTTTGGTTTCTGATGCAGAAGCAGTGCTGCTATTAAGTAAGTGAGTGTTAGACATAAAAAAAGAGGGATGTATAAAGCAATTCTCAGGTTCTGTCAGTGCACAGGTACAGGGATGGAAAAATGCAGTTGTTGTTATTGAAGTATAGTTGGATGTTATGTGTTGCCTTAATGACTGACCATTAACATTTATGTTAAAAATGAATGAAACAAAGAATATTGTGGCAACAAAACTTGATATATAAAACTAGTGGCTGACAACATGTTGCTGAGAGGAGAATAACTCAAAGAACAACTGTATGTACTGCAAAAAATAGAAAGAGAAAAGCCAAAAGAAAATAATGTGTAGCGCATGAGTGATACAGCAGTGTTTGTGAATGGAGGTGAGGATGTCTCTTTTTGGCCACTTTTCTCCTTTTCCTCTCCCTGTGCAAAAGCTGTGGGAGTTGTCAGCTCATCTTAGCCAGGCTTAGCAGAGATGCAGTAGTCTCTGAAGATGAGGAGATTCTCTAAGGCTGTGGTAAGATGCTACCATATAGACTGGGGTGCTGAAGGATGTGGTCAGTCCTTTAGGTCTTGGAAAGTTTGTGTGAGAGAGGATGTGTCATGAATGTTCCCTACATGGAAAATGCCAGCCTGTGTACTTAGTTAAACACAGAGCCCAGCAATATGTGTCCAATGAAACCATGCCACTCATAGATTAAATCTTGTTTTGTTTGAGTTTGTCTGGGTTTGTTTGTTTTTAATGTTCATTATGTAAAAAAGAAGCTGTGTAACAACATAAGTGAACCTCATTGAATGGGGTGGGGAGCAGAGGAGCTTCTGGGTGGCATTACAGGGTCTGGCCATGGACTGGCACATGGCAGAGCAAGAAACACTGCCCATACAGACCTTTGTTCCTTGCTTTGACCATTAACTTGGGCTGATTTAAAATATGATTACGATCAACCAAAGTGAACCTCCACTTTCTCCTCTCATGCTGCATTGCCTTGTGTATTTGTTCTGCAGGGCAGTGCAGCCACGTACCCCCTCCCCAGCTGGGCACCCTGCAGATCATTCATGGCAATGGCACAGCCGTGGGGACGGTCATCGCCTTCCAGTGTGCGGCCGAGCACCAGCTGGAGGGGCCGGGCGTCATCACCTGCATTTGGAAGGGGAACAATACCCAGTGGACGGCAGAAGCGCCCTCCTGCAAGCGTAAGGCTCTTCCAGAACCATTCCCAGTCCCTCTGGGCTGCAGTCTAGTTATTTAGCTTTGTGTATCTCCTACAACCTGAGGATTAATTCTAGGCATCTGTGCAAGAAAAAAAGACAAATTCAATTTCCTTCAAAGTTGCCCCCGCTGACTGTAATTGCGCTCCATATGTGTTCTGACATCGTTAATTATTGTGACATAGAAAAGACTCCATCGGATTTCTGCCCGATCTTACATCACCGGCTCCGGTAGCGTTGCACCCGGAACAAACGTGGCTCTGTAGCTACAGGGTGTTCTGTTCTTTACAACTTGTAGAGATGTGACCAACTAATCTGCAAATGTATTTGCAGACCTCTAATCTGCTGGCATTCATTTCTGAAGATAACTTGCTGTAAAAGAAACACAGTGATATTTTTCAACAATATCAGGCTGTTGCCTGCAGGCAGCTGCATGGGAAAGTTACCATATTAACAAATAGCATTTGAATGGCAGCATCATTAACTACCTTTCATGCTGTGTTTCTTCTTATTTATTATAAAACAGTTAGTAATTTGACTGGAAGTAGACTCAAGCAAAAATCTACTGCATGGTACTTTTGAGCTTTGTAGTATCTGAATTGAGGAGCTCGGTCTGTATCTCAGATTTGTATCATTTTAAATCATTGGTAGTTGGATAGCTCTCTAGGCTTTTATCAGTCCTTCTGAAATTCAGGTGTTCATATCTCTGATTTAAGAGACTCCAGTAAAGAAAATAAATGACAGAAACCCTCCACTTTGTGTAAAGCTGAGCTGAACCGTTCCTTGTGCTGGTATTCGTGTTGGAGGAACTAGAACAGTTCTGAAGTGAGATATGTTTAGAGCTCAAAACGAGGTGGCAGAGGTCTGCGTTAGCTTTGCCTTGCCACATTCTCGCTCCTCTTTTGTCTGGATAAATTCATTTCTGATGTCAGATCACTGTGAATACAGAGCCTTACAGATACCATCTCTTCCATCCCCAAACAGAGGAAGACCAGTTGGTCACTTCCTGGCATATAGGATATCAAAACATAGAGCCATCCTCCATAAGAGGCTTCTTTAAACTCACATACCCTTCAGTATTTGTGTTTGCACTTCCACTCCTTGTCAACCATTGATTAAAACAGTCTGGTAGCTCATCTGCATTTGATAGACCGACCAAGTTGTGCTTTTTAGTTGCAGTGCTAAAGGCATTGTGTTTAACTGCAGTGCTAAAATACTTGTGAACAATTACTTATAAGCAGGAATTTTTAATTAGCCCAGTTTAAGATCTGTGTAGCTTTAGGTCGAAGCCAAGATACTTCAATATCGTAACACATGCTTAACACTGAGCTATTATTAGCATAAGTGTAAATCAGGTAGTTTTCAGCATGGTTTAATGAAAATATGAGATGTATTGACCTCAGAAATGTTCTCCTGTGTTTGCCTTGCTGCAGCCATATCGAAGTATGAGACTTTTGGATTTAAAGTCGCAGTGATTGCTTCCATCGTGAGCTGTGCCATCATTCTGCTGATGTCCATGGCTTTTTTAACCTGTTGTCTCATCAAGTGTGTGAAGAAAAGTGAAAGGAGGAGGACTGAAAGGTATGTCAAGAAAAGGCTTTTAGACCTGGCGTAAAATGTGTACACCGTGTGCATTCCATTGCTGTGATAGCACAGAGCTCCTTTCCAGGACTTGGTGCTTAGAACACCATGATGATGTTAACTACTTACAACCCTTCATTTGTAGAGTAGAACTTAGGCATAGAAAGATGTAAAATCAGAAGTATTTAGGTGCCTGTTTTTTTTTAATATTGAATGACAGAAATGGACCTGGACAGATGTAGACCTACCCAGAATTATGCAGGAGCTGAACATATGAGTCTTGCTCTCTGGCCCAGTCTCTCTCTCCTTGAATTATTTAAGTTTGGCTGTATCTTCACTTCTCTTCTTCTCTCTCTCCTTTTTTATTCCTTTACTCTCATCAAACTCCTCTGGGAAATCCAATCTACTCATGTCAAAACCATCAAAGCCTTCACCATCTGCAAAGTTTGCTTAATGCTGTCACACAGATGCGACAAACGAGAGCTGGAAAGACTTAAGATTTTGTCATTTGGCTTGGAACACAAGACAGTGGGCAGAATTACAAACAGACAAGGGAAGAAGTAAAATTTACCCATCCCGTCCATTATAAAAACTTAATATGAAGGGTGACTGAGTGACCAAATGTGTCTGAATGTTAAATCCAATCAGCTGTTGTTCATGAGAGCATCCACTCAAATTTACCTGCTGCAAAAAGTGTTCTATGTGCACCTGTGCTTCATTTCCTTCTCACTTTTCCCTTCTTCTCCCAGAGGGCTGGCTGCTCCCAGCTGAAGCCAACGAGCTGCACTTCGTGTTGATTTTTAGCCACCTCTTGCTTCAGAGAAGCATTTGAAGTGAGGTGAGGGAGAGGACCCAAGTGAAGGTCTCTGTGCTCTGAGCTGTGTTTTATCCAGAGCTGGATAGGAGCCAGACTTTCTCTTTGGGGGAAAATTCTGTAATTTCAAAATCTGACTGAAGCCAAAATATGGATTTTTTTTTTTTTTCTCATTTCCCTTGAAAGGATTTTGCATGGCAAAGAAGCCTTTGGTGTCATTCATAGTATTAGGTTTTCACTCACAGCATGAAATAAATTTTGAAATGAAAAGGATGACTGGCATTTTCAGGATCGCTGCTTTTCTTTCTGATAAGACTATTCATATCAAAGTCCTTGTTATTCATTTATTTTAAATGAAGCTTTGTCAAAATTAGCCATCCGCATGACTTTGATGTCTTGTTATTTTTCTCCTACCAGAGACAGACTTCTATACTGGGCATTTTTACCCAGTTTTGCCCCAGGACACCAAATGGTTCCCTTTGCTTCCCGGTGTACTGCTGCCCTCTGTCCTGTGGCAGTAGCCTTGCTGCAGCTGGGTGTCCGACAGCTTGAGCAAGTGTGCCTAGAGGGAGCCTCTTCTGTTAGATCAGTTGATGCAGTGGGAAAATGAGGACCAACCTCTGGATGCATGAAGTGTTTCCTGATCCAAAGAGGAGATGCAGGTTTGGTAATACAAAGCGAGAACATTTAGGAGGAGGCTGGTTAAATAAGTGTCTTCTAGGCCATCTCTGAAAGAAAAGGCAGTCTTTATCTGCAGAGCAGGGAGTGTGTCCTCATCTCCCCTTCAGCTTTGAAATCTGCCTGTCTGCTTTTTCTGGCTCTCTTAGTAGATCTGCTAAAAAAGGTCACCTCTGCCTACAAGCTTGCTTGTAAGGTTTCTGATGATCCAACAGGACGTGCCATCCTATGCTTTATCCCTGCATTTGGGGAGATGTCTGACAGAGGCATCCAAACACCCTCCCATAGCATAGCCTACTCCCAGACCTCATCCCGTGGCACAAGCATAGCATCCATTTTCTTTGGTAGAAGCAGGACTGCATCCTGAGAGGATGGAGAAGTCGTGGAAATGAGCTTTGCCATTCCTTACAGTCTAATCTCATCCCAGCAGCCAGGGTGATTGTTAGAGACTCTGTGAATGTTAAAACTCTTTTAAAAGCAGGAAAAGCAATTGTGATTTTTTTTTTTTTAACCCTAGAGCTGGAGAAAGCAGCATGAGAAGTGCCTTGGGCACATCCAGAAGGAAATTCTGAAGGCAACCAAACGCATCCTGCTCTTTAAAATCATATAATCATTAAGGTTGGAAAAGACCTCTGAGGTCCAACCGTCCACCTACCACCAATACTGCCCACTAAAGCATGTCCCTTTGTACGACATCTGAATGTTTCTTGAGCACCTCCAGGGATGGTGACTCCACCACCTCCCTGGGCAGCCCGTTCCAGTACCTGATGGCTCTTTTGGAAAAGAAATGTTTCCTAATACCCAACCTGAACCTCCCCTGTTGAAACTTGAGGCCGTACCCTCTCATCCTATTGCTGTTATCTGGGAGAAGAGGTTGAGCCCTGCCTCACCACAGCCTCCCATCAGGCAGCTGTAGAGAAATTAGGTCTCTCCGACCCTCCTCTTCTCCAGACTGAACAATCTCAGCTCCCTCAGCTGCTCCCCATATGACACTTGCCCCAGACTCCTCATGGTTAGTGAGATAATAGACATGGATTTAGATTTAAACTCCAGTGTTTATCTGTGGTCGGATAAAAGCTCAGGTATGCAACTGTTCATCACGGTGCTGTTTTACTCCTTGCTTTATTCACAGAGACATGCAGCTGTGGTATCAGCTCAGAACTGAAGAACTGGAGAACATGCATGCTGCTTACTTTGGTTATAAGGGAAGAAACAACAACAACAACAACAAGAAACTCAGGAATAATTCTGTATTTGATGATGTGACTAACATGGCATATGACAACCAAGGCTTCTACAGGTAAGGTTGTTAAAATGTAGTGGTTTTGAATGAGGTTGTTGAAGAAATTTTAGTATTTGCTAAAGATGTGCTTAGCAGACTGCCCTGAGGAGGTCAGGGTATGGCAGCAGCACTGACCTGGAGCAGGCAGGCTCACCTGCTGGGGCAGAACGTATGGGTTTCCTTAAGCTTGCCTGTGCTGTGGGAGTTGCGTTGCCCAAAGGTGGCAGTGCAGAAAACTTGAGCACTTGGTTACTCACAGCAGTGCTTGGTGAAGCCTGGTCTGCAGAGGAGGTTGCGCCAGGTTAAGTGGAGAAAGGTTTTTAATTGGCTTTGTTAAGTGGATGCTAAGCAGCAGCAGGTAAGTGGATACGCTGTGTGGTTGCGTGGTAGCAAGCTTGCCTAAGAGCTTAGGAGAGGAGCTAACCAGGGTCAGCCCAGGGCGTTCCCATCCCTCTGTGCATGGAGGGTCTCCAGAGAAACGTGGCAGTCAGTGTGTGCAGGGCAGCACAGTGGGATCCTCAGCTGCAGCGTGCCACTGCCCCATCAGTGCCACCACAGTGGGAACCCTGACCCTGTGGTTGCCCAGAGAAATGTCCATACTGAAACGAGGTGTGCCCTGTGGTGTGGATGCATGAGGGGTGGGCAGAGGTGTTTTTATTGGTTCAAAATCACCTCTGAATGTGTCCAGATGTGTTGTCACCAGTAAAAGAAATTTGTACCATCTGTACAAATACGTGTCATTGTGTCTTTGATAACCTCTGAGTTCTCCTTTGTCATTGTGTATGGTATATACAGCACAATCCTTGTTTGCCTTTAATTCATTGCTCCTTTGTAGAGCTTTTCTGAACAGCAGTACCTGTGATTTGTAGTGGTTACCTGCAGAAAACAGCTTTATGCAGATTGCAAACCTGCTTCCATGTCACAGTGCAGCTGGAAATTTTATTCCAACGGAGCACTTACATGAAAGTCTGATGGCTGTTTAATCAATTCTTAGCTTTGGGTGTTTTCAGAAAGATGTATAATGGTAATTAAATGAAATTTATAACCTCAACAGTTTTCAGAAGTCTCAACGACGCAATTTTTAACTTTGGACAACTTCAGTCTTTCAGAGTGTAAATGTTTTGAAAAAATGTAATCTGCTTTTAAAATAACAGGGATAAATAAACACAGGGCTATCTACAGGGCTTAGAGCTCTGCTGGAGTCTCAGCTCCTTCTGCTGCTTATCTGCACCACTCCACAGGGCAGAAGCTGCTGTGTTATGTTTACCGAATTCTGTACATCTTTTCTTAACTGAAACGAGCAGGGAATACACAATTCTTCTGGATAAGCAGCTTCTCTGGGGCCAGAAGTAAACAGTTTGATTATTTCTTTAGAAAACTGGAAGGATGTGCAGTTCCCTAGTGGGGAAATGCAGAGGGCAGGAGGATAATGCCTGTGAGCTCTGTTTTTACTGCTTGAACAGTAGAGATGCTGTGTTGGGCACTGAGGCACATACCCACCTCCTTATGCGTGAGGCCACTGTCAGCCATGTCAGCTTGCTTTCCAGGATGTGGAGATGGTGTGATCCTGGCTAATGACCAGTGAGCAAAAATCAGCTGGAAGAACGGGGGTATCATGCTGTGCACACCAGAGGAAGGGTCTAGCTGTTTCTCATAAAGAACAGATGCTGTTTCTAATCGGACATAGTATCCAAGCTATTACAGACCAAATAAAATGATCTTGGGATTGCTCTAGGAACAAGGGTGGTCTGTTATCAGTTCTTACCACACTCCCTTTTCTCACCTGAATAAGATCTACTTAGTCAGGGTTAGTAAAAGCTGTTACCTTCTCCTGTTTATTTCTGTTAAGTGGATATATGCAGAGGATGAGGTGTGGAAGTGATGCTAACGTGTCTCGTGCCAAGTCTCAGAGACAACAAGTGGTCTGTCAGCTCTGCACCCCTTGCAAGACTGAATGGTGCATGTCACAACTAGGTGAGGTCTCAGCATGCTGTGCTCCAGAGATGTCTTGGCTGATTTTTGTCAAGACGAGAACAGATCTCAAGGACTGATCCAGATCTTGCTGACGTACATTGTCTACCAAATGATTTGATTTGCTGCTTTAAGGAACAAAAGTGCTTTAGTAACAAATAAAATGAAAAGCCAGTTCTTTCAGGTAGGTAAGACACAGGTTATATTTTGTAGAGTAACTCAGGAGCACAACACTATCATCTGTGGAAGTGATGCCTTAGTTTGCTGATGAGATCATTTTGACTGTAATGAGGTACCATAACAGGGATCCAAAATGCTGACATGGAAGTTATAAATAATGCAGGAGTTGGCTGTTGGACAGCTCAGGCTCCAGTGTGTTGTTCGGGTCCTGTCTGCCATAAAACAAGGTCCTCATCCCCTTGTGTTTGAAGTGTGGAACAAATGTGATGAATATGTAGTTTCACTGGAAAACACTGAATTTTAATGATAACTGCTGTAACTATAATGAGCCCCACTCTGGCTTTTGGGTGCGTGAACAAATTGCCTTAAAATGTTGAGAAATATGTTTACGAATACCTGGGATCATTAATGGCTGTGTAGTCTCTGTTGATGCTGCCGCTTCACTTGGGTGTAAGGAGCCATAAGGAGGATAAAAATAGCAAATTTTAGCAGCAGCTCATACATGCAGGAGCTGTAAGCCTATTTGCTCTCTTACAATATTGGAATAGTTCACTAACGCCGAGTAGGAACAGCAAATTACAAGGCATGGGGTGCTGGGAGGGATGTGCTTCCCCCAGGTTGGAGCAGAGGCAGGAAGTTGCTGCGTGAAACAGGGCTGGAGATTAGCAGAAGGCTGATCCTCAGCTGCAGGAGATGAGAGCAGCCCATCGGCAGCCTGGGTGCAATGCCTCCCTGATGGGAGAATGAAACCAAGGATGTTAAATTCATCCATCCAAGGTGAAAGATCATCCTCAGAACAGCAGATAGCATTACGCTGCTTTGGATTAGATGGGTCTCACGAGGACGTTAGCACTTAAAGTGCCATTCTAGGTTTAAGAGGTTTTTGTTTTTGTTTTTGTTTTGTTTTGTTTTGAGATGGGTAAGCTCCTGAGCAGTAAATTTGAGTAAACTGAAGCAAATTTAAGTCTGTTGTCTTGAGATCACTGCCTGGAGCCAGGGAAGTTGAGCAGCCTGAGCCAGCAGCCACCTCTTCTCCACGAGGCAGTGGTGCCTCTGTGACAAGTCACTAACATGTGCACCAGCTCACAAAGCCACCGAGAGCCAATGGCACAGTTAAGCACCGACGTGCAGGAAAAGCATGGAAGTAGTAGTGAGAAAAAACAGAGCTTGTTTCAGTTCTCATCAGCTTCTGAATTACAATGAGCAATAGCCATACTGAGGGAGGCCTTTGCTTGCTTTGGTTTTTCATCACACTGGCCTGAGTCCTGTGCAAGGACAGGCATTCCCTCAGCTCAGAGCTGTTGTTTTCCAAGGGAGAATGGACAGTCTGGTATTTTCATGCCAAGGGAGAGCTGAGTTCTCCTTTTCAACATCTTTATCAAAGACATAGACAGTGGGATTGAGCATACCCTCAGCTAGTTTTCTGATGACACCAAGCTGAGTGGTGCAGTTAACAGAATAGGAGAAAAGAACACCATCCAGGGGGTCCTGGACATACTCAACAAGTGGGCACGTGGCAATTTAATGAGGTTTAACAAGGCTGAGTGCAGGGTGTTGCTCTTGGGTTGAGGCAATTGCAGACGTTCTTACAGACTAGGAGAGAGTAACCTGGAAGAGATGGACTTGGAGGCCCTGATGGACAAAAAGCTGCAAATGAGCCAGCAGTGTACTCTTGCAGCCCAGAAGGCCAGCAGTACCTGGGGTACATCAACAGAGGGGTGGCAGCAGGGAAAGGGAGGTCATTTTCCAGTCCCTTATGAGGCCCCATTTGGAGTACTGTGTCCAGGCCTGGTGCCCCCAGCGTGAGAAGGATGTGGAGCTGTCGGAGTGGGTCCAGAGCAGGGCCATTAAGATGATCAAGAAGCTGGAATCGTTCTGCTTTGAAGAAAGGCTGAGGGAGTTGGACTTGTTGAGGTTGGAGGAAAGAAGGCTCTAGGGAGATAACATGGCAGCCTTCCAGTACTTGAGGGGAGCTTAAAGCAGAAGGGGGGGACTGACTTTTCACATGGACTGATAGTGACAGACAAGGGGAATGGCTTTAAACTAAAAGAGGAGAGATTAAAGCCCATGGCTTTAAGGTGCCCCCCAGCCTAAGCCATTCTGTGATTCCATTCTATGATTCCTTTTACTCCTCTGTCAGCTGAGAGGACAACCAGATGGAAACCAGCCTGGCTTAAAAATACATGTAAAGATCAGCAAAAAAACTTAGTGATTTTTCCCCCCGTTGTGAAAACCTTTGGAAGAAACCACGCGTTCAACATTTGGACTGTACTTGAGGTGAATTATTTTACACAGCTCGAGGCCAAGTTATAAAGCATTCTCTGTGAAGTAGTGATCTGGCTGCAGGAGTGAGTCAAATGGAAAAGCCCACGTCTCGGTAGGCTTCAAGTCCTCCTTCACATATCCACTGCAGCTGGAGCATATTATCAAGGAGAAAAAATCTCTTCTGCGGAGAAAGAGGCTAGTGTAATCTCCCACAGAAGATATTTTTAGCACCTGAATTTTTGTGCTGGAGCCCTTTTTGACTATAAGATGCATTACCAGCATGCCTGGCAAAGAGCAAGTAAGGGCAGTCCAACAGAAAAGATGTCCAAGTGAAAAGATTTCGCAAAAAATAAAAGCCAACGTGCTCTTAGGAGAGGCAGCTTGGTGTTTTGAGTCGACTCAAGAAGCTGTGCGCAGAGTTGGCGAAATTAACTCATAGCTTTGGCCTCCACAGTGAAACAAAGTGTATTTTCTTTTTCCCTTTGATGTAGTGAGGCTGAAGTTTTCCACTACCTTTTATAAGGGGTTCCACTGGAGGTGCAAATCAGAACCTTGTGTTGCCCTGAACAGCGTCTGCATGTGCCCAGGCCCATGGAGGACATGGCTGTTGGCCAGAGGGGGAAAGACCCTTGGCCACATTCCCACCTTTCCCTCTGTCCCATCGGAGCACTTTCCCAGCTGTTTTCCCCCTCTAAACACGTTAGTAGAAGAGATTCCGAAGCTGAAGGATCTGATGGCCTTTTGCTAGCAGCATGCTGTGGTGCAAGTTTACTGCAGTGAGGAGCAGCACTAATGCTGAGAGACAAAGTGGTGCAGGACTGGATGGAAAACACAAATAGTAGTAGGAGACACCAGAACAGCCTGAGTGGCCATCAGAGCCCCCCCCCCCCCCCCCCACCAGGAGCTGCAGAGCAAGGGGATGCATCAGAGGGAGAATTAAGGGAGCAAAACTTCAACAATAGTGACTTCCTGCAAGACAGTCGGGGTCCCCAAAGTGTCTTCTGCACCTGGCATGCCATGAAGGGCTGTGGGAGCTCATACTGGTTCTGCATTTTCATTAGATTTCTTTTCTTGTTAAAAGTTGGACTGCCTGAGCCTGGCTGAAGATGCCGCTGTCCTACACACAGAGCTGGATCTCTGTGCCTGAGCTCTGCGTGCTGTGACCTGGCACCAGGCTGGCTGCACCAAGGGGCAGAGCTGAGCTCATTTCTCCCTCTGAGTTTCCATTTCTTCTGTCTGAGCCCACGGCTGGTGTGAGGATCCCACTGCTCAGGGATGCAGTCTGCGTGGCATCCTTGTGTGTGGAGAGCAGCAGTGCTGCAGGAAGCAGTGCAGGGCTGATTCCACTGCAAGAAGCATTCAGTGAAGCAGCTGCAAACAGCACAGGCTGTGTTTCATACAGCATGCACAGTCCATGCCATTCCCTGTGTGAGGGCTGTCTGGTTGTGCAGCTCTTAGGAGGGGGGAGCAGACTTGGGCAAAGCCGAGGGGCCTTTACGTGCTTTTTGCATAGACATCTGCACACTGTGTTGTCCCAACCTGAGCTTCTCTATTCATTTCCCCTTATCAGTTACCATGGTGCTTTGTGCTCCAGCATCTCACTGCCACTGAAGTCTCAGCACCTTCTGATGCACCTATTTCACAGAACTGCCAGGCGGGGGAAGTGGGCTGTGGTTTAGTCTTGGGGCCCTGTGTCAATGGCAGGAGTTACAGGATACGTTTCCTGTTTACTTAATGTAAGAGAAATAAAAATGCAGTTAAAGAGAAAGCAGAACCAACCAACCAAAGCCTTGCTCCTTTGTATCAGCAATTTGCACTTATCTTTCTCAAATGTCAAGTATTGTGCATCTAGATGGGATGTTCAGCATGTGACACTCCTGGATGCTCTTATGTTTCCAGCTAGGAATACAGGGAAGTCTTCTAACCTTCTGACTAGGATAATTTGGAGTAGCCCAGTTGGAAACTAGCGTTAAAGGGCCAGAAGGAGTCATGTTTTCCCTGTTAACCTGGGCACCTCCTTGGGTTCTGTTCTGCTGTGCTGATCAGTGCCATCCCGCATTGAAAGCAGAGGTGGTTTCAGATGCCTTTACACTACCTGGCTGTAGTTCATGCCCCAAGTAGTTTTGTAACACAGCTTTCCATTGAAGGACAAGATTTAATGTCCTCTACAAGACAGATGTATCTGCAGTGTCTGTACTAGAGCAGTTACTTGTAACAGTGCTTTTATTTTCTGCCCTTTCCCTGTGATTCTGTGCATTCCTATATGAAGCACGCTTCCCACTAGCGCTCCTGCTGGTTTCCTGCAGCCAATGCAAGCAGCACACAGAGACTGCACCTCTTGAAATGCTGCTCGTGTGCACAGGGTATGGCCAGGCTGTCCTGGATGCAAGTGCACAGACTGCTGCATTCCCCTCTAACCAAGCGAGGGCTTTCCTTCCGCACCGCTCACAGCACTCAAGTGCTCCTAGTAGGATTCTCTAGTTTGCACTGCATTAAATTGAACCTGGAGACTCAAAACAAAGAGATGACATCTGCTCCAACTCCACAGATCTTTCCAAGGACTGCACCAGCTTTTGCAAACTCACTTATTTGCACCATTGCCACCTACTGCTTTTAATGCTGGAAGAAGCGAGCCCCTATTTTGCAGCACAAGCAGTTTGTAAAGTGCCCGATATGCAAATAAAAGAGATCAGAAGGTTCTGTATTCTCATTAGAGCAAGCAAAACTGAAGTAACTTTTCCCTTCATGCCTACAGATTCCAGGAGGAGTGGACTCGGGACATGGCAGCTTCGGGGCGCTGCAAAGCCAGTGAGCGGCTGCCCAAGCTCAGCAGCAGCAGCAGCACACCTGGGAGACCCACAGAGCCAGGACACAGCACTGCTCTGCACACAGTGAATTCAGTCCACGTGGTTGAGGTCTATGGACACACGGACAGATACAACAAACCCAGGTGTCAGATACCTGGCTAGCTGCTGGCTGAAGTGCACTTGCTTCTCTGGACCAAAATGAAGTGGATTGAAATAATGTGCCTTAAAGATAACGCAGGAAGTTAACTACTCATTTGAGTCTGAAAGTTTTATATATTACAAAGTGGTTATTTAACAGGAATACTTTGAGGTCTGATATAAATAAAATAAGGAACGTTGAGGCTGGCCGTCAGCAGCCATTCTCTGCAGTGCACTGTGCTGTGGCCGTGGCAGAGCATCATGGCTTTCTTGTGTATCTCCAGAGAGGAATGGGAGCCGGGTTGTGTCTTTGCCTGATAGAAATTCACTGGTGATAATTACACATTCATTACGCCTTCCTTAACCCATATTTTTATACGCCTTAATCCCCCATATTTTTACACAGCGGTATGATAGAACAACAATAAGATGTTTTTTAATTAAAAGCCCCTCTGCATAAGGGAGGCCTTACTGCTTAATTGCACTGCTCTGTGTTTAGAGGCCATGGATGGAGTGGTGCAGCACAACACAGCCCCAGACTCCCAGCTGGTCCAGGAGCCCTGAGGAGCTGCTGCTGCGGCACCCAGTGAGTTTTCACACAGCAATGACACTGCAGCCTGGAGTAAGGCAAGAAGACAGCAGGTGTTTAGGTAAACCTGATTCCTTGATAGAAGTGAAAGTAGTAATGAGTTAGCAAAGCAGAATTTGAACCATCATTGCTGCAGCTTCAGGAAATTGTGAAGGACAAGGAAGACTGGGGAAGGTGCAGAAGGGCTTTAATAAGGGAAGAGTTGAGAAGCACGAGAAGTGCCAGGAAAAAGGTGCTTCTGATAGCTACAAAGAGCACAGGATGCGTGCTTGAAGTATCAGTTGGCACAGAAAGCCATGGGAAGCAGCAGTGCAGGTGGGTGCATTCAGTGCCTCCATGAAGAGCACCAGTCACTGTCATTTATTGAAGTGTCTAATCCAAGAGGCAGCACAGTTACAACAGGATAAGGAAACAACACCCATACTGTCTTTCATGAGATTTGTGGCTCTGTTCCCTCTGGGACTGTGCTCAGTTTATGACAGCTGCACCCCCTGGAGTTGGTTTTATTGCTCACATAAACATTATTTATTGTCAGGAGGAAAAGGAGTGCTGTGCAGGGAGATGAAAGCAGCTGAGAACCTAAAATAGAGGCTTAAGTACACATGTTTATTAAGTTAACCCTTAAATGCTTGGCAGCCAGTGATCTCAGGTTCGGGTTCCCATTTCTGTGCATTTCCATGCGCATTTTATGGAACAGCTGAAACACCCCAAACTGCACACATCAGCACAATGCAGCCCCCTGCCTGCAGAGATGCTCAGAAGTGAATTGTTGCACATTGCAGGATGATAGGATAATTCCTTGCAGATAAAAAACCTGCCAGCAGTGTTTATCAGAGCACTGCTCGTTTTCTTTCCCTGCCCTGGGCTTTAGGGCTGCTCTCCTGGAGCAGACAGCTCTGCTGGGGCCGCTGCACTGCTCTCCTGCTCAGCTTTGGCTGCTTGCAGAAAACCAAGAGACAGTTTTTAAGATCTTATGCTAAGTACTGATGAGGGACTGGTTTTTAAGCCAGCTGACACGCTGTTTGCTGTAGGAAAGCTTCTGATCCTGACATCCTTGTAAATGAAAATCCACTCTTTGGAACAAATGAAAGAGAATCCGTTTGCCATGCTGGGAAGGCACAGTGTCTGTGCAGTGCTGGATGGAGCCCTGCACCCCGCCCCTGGCAGAGCCCCTCCTGTGGGGTGCCCTCATCCAGGGATCACAGCACAGCACTGTGGGTCCTGTGAGCCCTGGCACAGTTTGCTGTTTGTTTTCTTAAGGTGCATATGTAAGTTGGGTGTGAAAATCGGAGCCTCCATATGAAAATATGTAGGTGTCCCACTCTCGTGTTTGATGGGAGGAGTTTCAGACTGGAGGTATCCAACAACAGAAACAATCAGATCCCTTTGGTTTCTTTGATGATGCTGACATGGCTGGGAGGAAGCCTGGCTCCTGCTGCCAGACTACCTGTCAGTGCCTGTATGGCTCTCAGGTGTCTGCTATGGCTGGGAAAAGGGGAAGGATACGTTTGGAGCTGTGGAACAAGGAAGCATGGATGGACACCAGAGCGCTGCCATGGAGTGAATGATGCTCTTGTTGGGCTTTCCACGTGGGTAATGGAAATGCCAGCATTCAGCTGGGCAACTGTTTGGGTCAGGCTGGGGGCTGGGACAGCTTGGGGTTGGATTGGGGAGGGCAGGAGGCACAGACATGCCGGTCTTTTTAACTTTATAATTTTAACTGAATGGTAGATGGCATTGAATCCTCTGCTTAAAAGGACCAAGCATAAAGCTCAGCAGCATGCCAGCCAGTAGCTTCTGAGATTCCTCTGCACATCTCTGTGTGATACAAGGAACCTGGGCCACTCCCTCCTTCAGTAACAGGGAGAGGTGACCTTTCTTTCTTATATTTTAAGGACTTTTACAAAGAAGGCTGCTTTACAGAGGCAGTGTTGAAAGGCTCTCATGCAGTCATCCCACCACTATCCATGGCTAAGGGCCATAACCAGAATGCATCAGCTGATGGAAATGCTGTAGTTCCCAGCCCTCTCCAAGGCAGGATGTTTCAGAAGCAGTCTCCTCTTGTGCTAGCCAGTGCTAAAATGCACTGCAGTGGGGGAAACATGAAACTCTTCTGGCAGAGCCGCAAACAGGGAATGAAAGTTCATCTGACATAAAGCAGAGCTGAGCAGCTTGTTCCTGGGTCCCTGGCACTTCAGCACGTCTGTGCTGTGCTCAGGCTGTCTGTGTGCTCAAGGTCACAGCCCCATGGCCGTGCTCATGGTGGTGTCCTCACAGGAGGTGCCGTGCAGCTGGAGGCTGCGCCCATCGCTCACAAACCCATGGCTGCACAGCACCCTTCTGTTCCCCCTGGCCCAGAGTCAGGTGGAGCTCAGCAGGGTGGCAGCTGCCGTGTGAGCACAGTGCGGGCAGGGGCTGTGCTCTGTGCTCGGCACTCTGCTCCATCTGTTTAGCAGATCTGTCAGCCGTTTATTTATTCACCTGTTTTAAGGGGAGGATACCCAAATGGCCTTCCTGCCTTCAGAGAATTCATAGAGTCATCACAGAATCGTTTGAGTTGGAAGGCACCCTTAAAGGCCATCTGGTCCCACTCCCCTGCTGAACAGAGACACCCACAGCTCCATCAGGTGCTCAGAGCACAAGCAGCCTGACCTCAGGTGTCTGCAGGATGAGGCACGTCCACCTCTCCGGGCAACCTGTTCAATTCAGTGTTTTGAGGTTTTTAGGAAAAAAAACCAGAACATAATGGGCTGAGCATTTTTCTCATAAATAATTTGATTTCTATTTTAAAAGGGATCAGATATTGAGCTGTGTGGTTTTGAAGACTTCTGTGAGGCCAACTGTTATCCTCTGTACAAGCAATGGAGCATCTTCGTAGGCTGTGTAACAAGCCTCCTGCAGCCAATAGCCGGGCTGGGCAGGGAGCAAAGAGCTGAGACTTGCGGCGAAGCCAAAAAGGAAGAGAGAAAAAAAAAAAAAAGCCCAACCCAACCAGCCCGCAGGCGGCGGGGGGGGCGGCTCGGCTCCGCTCGACTCTGCAGCTCCCCCCCCCGGCTTTTCCTTTCGCTTCGAGGCCGCCCTGACCTCGGCGCAAGGAGAGAGCCGTTCCGCGCCGCCCATGGGCCATGCTCTACCGGAGCCGTGAGTGCGGGACCGGCGTGCCGACCCGACCCGGGGCTGCGGGGCTTGTGCTCGGGGGCTGCGGGGTGAAGCCGGGGGTTCTGAGGCTTCTGCTCGGGGCTGCCTGCATGCCGGACGTTCAGGCTTGGCGGAGGGAGCACAGCGTGCAGTTGAAGCTTGTAAAGCGCGTCTCTTCGCGTTTCCTTAAGCACGGGAGTTTGTACCGCCAGACATCTATTCCCGTTCGGTCGTGGGAAAATAACAAGTGAGATTGCGATGTAACAATTAACGGATAAATAAGAAAACACTGCGTGCTGGGGCTGCCTCGGCAAGGGTAACATTTAGCAAATAAAATAACTCCATAAGTAAACAGATTGGGAAGAAGCAGGAGGAAACAGCCGCGGCTTTGGGATCAGCCGACAGGAAATGCACGGCTGCCCGCCGTGCGGGAGCAGCTGGGGTGGGCTGCCCAGGGGCCCAGCTCCAGCAGTCGCTGTGCTTTGGAAGTGGCTTTTGCCTTCAGGTGCTCTGGGAACACGCGGGATCTGTGCCCACAGCACAGGGGTTTGTGGAGCTGACTGTTCCAGCCCATCGCTGCTGCTGGTCCTGAGGACGGGGCGCAGCCCTGTGCTGAGTGCCATGGCACCATCTTTGGCTTGGAGCTGGATGGTGACCTTAAAGGTCCCCCTCTGACCAACACCATCCCACGGTGCGATGACCTCAGGAGGGGATGCAGTGGGCAGTGCTACCAGGGCCTCAGCACAGTGCTGTGTGAGTGGAGCATGGCCACGTTTCCCCTGGCACCCTGAGCACAAGTCACACTGTGCAGGGGAGGCTCAGTGGCATACGTGCCATGGGTGTGAGCAGGAGCTATATTTAACCACCGGTTCCTGTATCATCAGAGCTGATGGGACAAAAATACCTCCAGTCAGTGCATGCTGCAGCTCTCCTGGAAGCTCCACTTCACCCCGTGCTCAGTACTCATGGGGGAGGCTTTGCTCTGTGCCATGCTGGGTGTTTCCAGTTCTGCCCTTGGGGTGCTGGTGGAGGTGCCAGGGGAGTGCTGTGAGTGGCTGTGTGACAAGGCCATGTGTCACTGTATGTGCCATCCCACTGCTGCAGCAGAGAGGTGAAAACCTTAAGAGTGTGGTGAAAGGAGATATAAAGTGACAGTGCCTCTTTCTGTTGCCACAAGGTCAAGATTCCTATGTGCTCTAATAATAGTGGTAAGTCAACAATCTGCTTTCATGCTGCTCAGAAAATCTGACTTCCTGAAGGTAAATGGCACAAACTCTGGATGCTTGTACCCTATCCATTTTCTCAAGGACAGGCAACATAAACGTCACTGTATTTTGCAATATTAAAAATACTTCAGTGAGTTTTTTATTCTATATTCTTATGCTTTCTAAAGGTAAGGAGGCTGCTTCCCTTTTAGGAAGGAGTTGTAGGATGTAGGATATCACAGGGCTTGTTTGTTAGTGGAGGTACTCATGGCAAGATGGGCTGCAGGAGCCCTGTGCTGCAGGCAGCTCCCATACAACACAGGGAGGTGACACCGATGGGATGCCTCAGGCTGGAGGGCAAGAACACAGCAGTGATGGGTGATGCCTGGAGGTACTGCAAGGACTTGGGATGTGCTGCCTTCATCAGGGCTGTACCAGGTGCTGCAGTGCTAGGAGCTGCTCACAGCTCATTCTGTACCTTTGCCATATAAGGATGGAGGATTCCCCCATACATTACAAAAATATCAGATTTTTCAGTAAAAGAAAATAAACCCGCAGTAATAAATAGTATCTCCTTATCGTAATTTGCAAAGCCAAGGTTCAGCCTTGCTTCTCTGCAGGGTTGGCAGCCAGGAATGGCACATTGCCTCCATGAGTCAACGGGTAATTAAATGTTTATGGAATGTTGTGCTAATGAGAGCTTTAAAACACAGAGTTCCTGTGCTTCCTCGTGAAGAAGTTATATCCGGGATTTGAACAGTTAAACTATTTGTGGAAAAAGCAAATCGTGGTCGTGCTAATTCCGCAATTAATCGTTACAAACCTCACAGCTGGGAAGTGTGAATTCCTGCTCTCGGCCCTCACAAGGCGCTTAACGCCGGCTCAAGGTGTTTTTCACAGCACTGAGCCCCCATCCCCAGCTCAGCCCCAGCCCAGCGGCGGCCGCACGGGGGCGGTGGCGCGGGGCGGAGCGGGACGGGGCGGTGCTGCCCGGCCCCAGGGCGGCCCCGGAGCGCTCGGCAGCAGGAAGGGCGCAGCCCAGGGCCGGGCCGCTATGCTCGGTGAGTGCGGGGCGGGGGGGGCTGCGGGAGCATCGCTTCAGGGCCGCCGCTCGCGTCCCGATAGTCGCGTCCCGATAGTCGCCTCCCGGCGCGGCGGTGCCGGGTGTTCTGCTGGCGGTGCCTGTGCGTCTCGTGTGTTTTTCGGAAGTTTATTTGTATTTTTTTTCTTGGAAGCCCCGTCGTTACGTGTCCGGGCTCAGCGCACGGGGCGCTCCGTTGGCACGCAGCCGCTCACCTGTGCCATCGCGCGTTTCTCAACGCCGTGTTTTGTAAACTTGGGATCCCCGCTCTGGGGCCACCCCTGCAGCTGCTGCAGCTTCGGAGCTGGTTTTCATCCGTGAGTCACAGCCCGTGAGTCACCGGGCTGCGGGTGGCATTCGGGAAGCGGCGGTGCTGCGTAACCTCAAGTCCTTGGCAAGTGCGCGGCGATGCCGGGCTGTGTGCGAGCCTAGCGCTGGGACACGAGGGCTCCATCCCGGCGGGACGTGTGAGCCTGTGCTGAGCCTCGCGGTCACTGAATGGGAATAGGCGTGGGTTTGAACTTCAGCATATGCATTTTTCCGCTGCAAGTGGGGAATTCGTAATGGATGTGGGCAGAACAACCCACCTCGAGGCAGCAGCTGTAAGCCAGATCCCACAGCTCAGCTGGCACACAGTGATGGAGGGGAATGTGCCACTGACACACAGGCTTCTGCTCGTTAGGATCAAGCAGCTGCAAGGCACCGTGCTCCTGTTTACCAAAAGGCCCGTTACCTCTCATATGGAGCGTAGAGGAAAGTCTACAAAGAAGCACCACGTTCAACTCTTAAGAGCCATTTAATGCTTTGCTTTTTTCTATTTTTAGAAGACGCTCAGATAATGCTGAGTTACCGAGGTTGCTATCAAGGACTCTCACTGTCTGGTGACAAACTCACAGTTAGCAGCAGTTGGCCTGGAGGGAGCCTGGTGCCTCCCACCTCTCTGCACTTCCAGCCCCGGGGAGCAGAGCCATTGCTCCTCTTGGGGTAGGAGTTTGGTTAACAGTGAAGTTTGATCATCTCAGGCAACTTCTGTGCAGCCAGATTTCCTCTTAAGCCCTCCACACCCCTTCTTTGGGCTATTGAAGGGGGAAAGCCAACAACTAGATGAGTGTAAAAGCTAACATTTTGCTGAGATGCTTTAGCAGGGAGTCTGCAGAGATGCGTGCACTTTGTTGGTCACGTGCCTTAAGGTTTTAATTATCAGCTCAGCTTCGTGACATTTATGAAAATCATTGGGTATTTCTGCAGGAAGTTGCAACCTGAGCTTGCATTGCCCAGCAGATGCCACTGGAGTTTCTAGAATTGATGTTTATGAATGGTGATGAACAAAGAGGGGTTTTGTTTGTTGTGTTAAAATTTTATCTGCTTTATCTCGTCTGTCTGCTTGGTAACTTGGAGTGAAGGAGGCAGGCTTTTAAGGGAGAACAACCAGAGATCAACACCATAATAAAGATACAGTGATGTAAGAGGCAGTATCACAAGTCCTCATGCAAATATCAGTATGGTGGTTCACTGGGGATGCCCACCTGCCCAGCTTCTGGCTTCTTTCAGGCCCCCTGGGCCCAGGCTGGGGTTGGAGCAGGGAGCACCGTTCAGTGCCACAATAGAGCATGGAGGGGCTGAGTGCAGGCCTACAAGTTTGAAATGCAGCTTGTTTGTTGTTTAAACCATGCTAGGTGTAGGTTTAAGGGTGCAACTTAAGGGTGACATGGCCATAGGGATATGCATTTTTTTTTTATCTGAAAGGGCAGCAAAAATAGGATGTGGAAGAGTGTACACAAAGACAAAAGTCCAGTGTGCTCTGTCCTGTTGTTCCTTAAACAGAGAGCGATTTGGAGTCTTCTATGGAAAGAATAAGCAAAAACAAAGCTACCAAGCAGTTCTTGACAGCCACTGTAACCTGATAGTTACGCTAGTGGTGTCTGATGTCTCTTGACAGAAAGCCAGTAAGCCAGAAAGCCTCCTTTGGAAGGAGGAGCAGAGGCGTGTCACAGAATGCCTTGGTTTTGCAGGGACCTTACAGCCCATCCAGCTCCAACCCGTGCTGCAGGCTGGCTGCCCCCACTGGTGCCTGCTTCTCCTGTGGGCTGTGCAGCTGGTTGTGGAGCTGCAAGCCATGGCCTCAGACAGCTGACAGTGCCGTGCACTGTGGCTGAAGCCCCAGTCTCACAGTTCTGCTGCTTGGGGAAGCGCTGGCTGAAGGAGTGATGGTCCTTGCAATGCTGGTATGGCTCCTGCTTGGAAACAAAATTGTCATAGCATGGAGGTTTTGAATTTCCCTCTCAGTAGCTGTCACCTCTTTGAGGCTGCCCTGACCACGGCCCAATGGCCTGGGGACACCTTGCTGTTGGTGGCACTGGTGAGGACAGGAGGTGGCTGGGGCAAGCAGGGCTGTGTGGAGCAGCACGTGGGAGTCTGAAATGCATGTGTGTGCTTCCAGATATCCTTATCACTCCTGTGCAGGATGCTGCATCCCAGCCATTAGCATCAGTGACAATTTGTTTTTTTGTTTTTTTTTTTTAATTTAATTATTATTTTGTAATTTAGCAGCTGGTGCACTGGTTGGTGGTTCTGTGGTGTGTTCTCTCTTCCCTTGTGTACTAGAAGCTTGAAAACAGCCATTGCTCCTGTGGTTTGAGCAAAGACTTCTCCAGTTAGAGGAGAACTGGCAGGCTTCAGAAGAGGCAGGGGAGGAGCTGGGTTTTGTTTTTGCTCTGGTGGTGCTGAGTTTGATGATGTCTCACTAGAATGTTTTAAACCTTGTGCCCAGTCCCCTCCCCCCAGAGTGAAGTAACCTGGGGAGGCAGTGGTACAGGTGTGTGAAGTGTCTTTGCAGGATGCAGAGAATGGAGCATCCCATGAGGCTGGGGAGCATCACACAGATGCTGGAGCCAGGCCTGAGGCATGTCCTCGGATGGCACAGGTAGCACTGTCTGCAGGGGGCATTGACTCGTTCTCTCCTTGTGTGTTTTGGCTTAGATCAGAGGAAAATGGAGACACCCAAAAAATCTCAGTGAGACTTATGCAGTGTAATGCAATCTGCAGTGTGTGAGCGTGAAGGTTTCAGATGGCAGCAAAAAGCCCTTGATAAGACCAGTGATGATTCAGTGAATGTGTACAGATGTGCCATGAGGACACGCCGTGTTCCTGACTGCTCAGAAAAGAATGTCAGCTTAAATGTGATCTCCAGCTGGCCACAATTAGCTTCACTGCTGTAGCTGCTGCTGATAGATTTCCACGTGCTGCCTGCATGGAATGAGGCAGCGATGGAGTGTGTGGGAAGCAGACATGATACATCAGGGCTGCTGTTATTTTACAAACTAAGATACATTCAATCTGTCGGAACCTTGTTGTTCTTTTGGCACTTGCTGTGGTTTGTTGATTGAATGTCAAGGTGTTTTTTGAAGTTATATTTCTTTGCTAGCTTGTTAGACCTTGATTTAACACATGCTTTTTATAAGGCTGCAGAATGAACAGAGTTGTTTGTGACATCCAGAGTCACTGTGGATCATGCAAGTGATGCAGAGGAAGGAGGAGGTAGCGAGGGAGGTGCACCTTACTCCCCAGAATGTAATGGCATGGGCAGACAACTTGACAGAGCCCTGTGCCCTATCAGTGTCTCCTGGTCCTCACCTCAGCCAGTGCATCCAGATGAGTGGGTTTGAGGAGATGCTTGATTTCAGCCCTGAGTCAGATAATGTTGAACTTGTTGCAGCAAAAGGGAACTGCAGAGCAAATAGTGCGGTGTGTTTCTAACAGCATGCTGTGAAGCTGCCTTGAGAGCCAGCAGCAGAAAGGCAAAGAATTAGAAACACATGGAAATGAGACATGTCTGTATGCAAAGAGAGAATGGAACTGGAGTACTTTTGTGCTTGTGAAATTGCAATACTCTGTGCAGTATCAATGGCCACGTGCCTTTATTTGAGTGGGAGCAACTTTGATTCTAGAGAAGTTGTGACTTCACAGTGATCACAATGGCAGATTCTTGTGAACCCTTTCCTGTAAGTGCAGTTAGGGCTACGAACATGCAGAAAAAAGGGGGATGTAACAAAATTAACAAACATGATATAGAAAGGACAAGGGCTTTGCAAAGGTGCAGTGCATCACGTGTTTGTTTTCTGGCTTTTTTTCCCCCTTCATTCTCTTGTTTATCTTCTCTAAATCACAGGGAACAGAGAGCTGATGATGGTCCATTCTGGTAGTCAAAATACCATAAAATACCATAAACCTGTGTGTGTGCTTTAAGTATGGGGAAGGTACTGTGTTCTTATTCTGTTCAGTTTGGATGGAGGGGTTTGTGCAGATCAGGTGTGATGTGTGTATTTCCAGGGTTGGTGACCAGTGGAGCTGATGGAGCACACTTATGCAGGTCAGGCATTTTAATGCTTATTCCAGGCATTGTAACAGATGGTTCTGTTTCTAAATCTAATGTGAGCACAGTAACCCACAGAACATACCTGAACCTGTCTGCCTCTTTAATTTCATAGTGCACAACACTAATAGCTGTAGGGAAAGGTAGCATCTAAGAGGTGAACTCCTACAAAATCCATTACTATCAAATTGGAAACTGTCCAGAATGACAGCAAGTCTTGATTCATGTATTTGCAGATGTATGGGTTAATAAATAAAGGTGTTTTTGTGAGATGTGTATTTGAGTGTTCTGTCGTGGTTTAAAAAAAAAAATTACTGCTTTTTAAATGCTTGTTCTCCCCTCTCCCAGGTGATGTGGAAGGGAAGTTTTCCTTCTTTGAACAGTTTCATGGCACTTCAACCATGTTCCTAATGTTCTGGTTTGTTTCAGTCTGGGCTGTTTACACATGGCAAATTGCTGATTTCCCTGTTAGACAAAAGGCATCACTAACTCTTGGTGGTTGGGTGATATTGGTGCTTCTTTCATTCTGTTGTGCCCAGCTTCCCTGCCTCCCATCCTGTAGCACCAGCCCTGCTGTCATCAGATCCTCAGCAGCAGGCAAAGACCAGCCCTGTGCTATGTACCAGTCACATATGGACCTGAAGCCAAATCTATGTCCTTTTGCCATTCTATGTAAGAGAGAACGTTACTTTATGAAACACATTTCCATCAATTTTTTAAAATAAAATCTTATTTTTAAACTCTGCAATTGGACTTTGTATTTATAAATGGTAGGAAACCTTCAGTGACTTAACTTTAGGACTGGATGGTCACTGTCAATGTATATGAGGTATTCATCAGTACTTGACATCCAAATAGTTCAGAAACTTCTTCCTTTGGAAAGAGAGAGATGCTCAGGTGACTGCCAGGAATTTAGGTACCTGTAATTCTGAGTGCATGGATCTCTGAAGTGCACGGCTGTACTGCAGTTCAGCTTTCCAGAATTAGCTGCTGGTAATCACTGTATTTTAGGTATTTAACCACTCTTAGGAAAATGAAATGTACACGATTTAAATATGGTTTGCTAAGTACTTACTGTGGTTTGTTCTTTGTGTTCTTCTATCTCTAGATCAGTCGTATTGTCACCGGCTGCAACACGACATGTATTTTCTTACAAGCAATAGCCGACTGAATGAGCAAGTGGTTGATAAAATTATTCTTCAGCTTAACAGAGTCTACCCCCAAATTCTTACCAATACAGAAGCGGAAAAGGTAACTTAATTGATTTTACTCCATCTCTGACTGTTCTGTTGTTTTTCTGCGAGCTGTTTAGTGACCCTTTAGCCCACATAATTAAAAAAGCTCACAGTCTGCCACATCTCCCTGGGTGTTCTTTCTCATCATTAGTTGAGCTGATATTAGCAGACCTTAAGGTAGTATTCAGCACTTTTGGGATTAGTAAATGTGTCTTCACGCAGTGTGCCTCTGTGTTAAGAAAATTGTATCCCTAACTTTCAGGTAAGATGACCTCTTTTCTGTAGGTAGCAGCTCAAAGGATGGATCTGGTGTGCATGTGCTGAGTTGCTGCTTCACCCCACTGATCCCTTTTCCCAGCTATAAGTGTGGGAGCTGAGAAATGGATGGAGTTAATAACGTAACTATGTATGGAGGAAGGCCTCCTTTGCTCAAGAGCTTCAAAATAAATATGAAAAGAATATATCTTTATTTTATTTCTACACTTAGCAGACATAAATGAACTGCTTTCCTATAGGTCCAGGGAAATTTCTGTCAACTCTATTGAAAGTTTGAGAAGCTTACCATCCCCCTGTATCCATTTGACCTTGTGAGAATTTTGTCAGAATAAGGCGTGTTGTATCAGGTACACTGTATTCCTGTCCCCCTAGAGAATGAATTGATCCTAACTAAATGTACTGCAAATGTTATCTGCTGCACTGGTATGAAATCTGATGCTTTGCTGAGAGTGGTTTTGGTCACTTTCCAGATACTCTGGGATCAGTTTGATGTGGGTAGGGTGCACGTTTTCATTCTCCTGTAAGGTCTTCTAGAATTAATCATATTTTAGACCACAGAAAAAAGAGCTTTCTTCTGCAGCTGCTTGCCGTGGTGCTTGAGTAATGAGAATTCATAAATGCTGCACTGGGTATGCAGCAGTGCTGGAAGCAGTCAAATGTGTAGTCTTGGGATGGTGAACGCTCCAATATTGTGACTAATGTCATCAGTATAAAATACCTTTTTAGGTGATCACCACTGGGCAACTAAGGGAAAACCTGAAAACATTAAAATTCCGTATGGTGTACATTCATGTTTGCTGTTTGCTGTCAGAATCAAATTGTAGAGTGGCAACTATTGAATTGAATGGGGAGAAACATCAAATGTGGAGTAGCTGTCACTTTACTGGGGGGAAAAAAAATGAGGAAAGGCAGAGAAAATGTGCTCACCATCAAGAGATGCTTCCAGATGGGGCTCAGTGTATTGAAGTATCCCATGCAATATATACATAGGTTCCCTTAATTTTCTGGCCCATTGTTTTTGGAAATATAAAATGGGCTCAATTCTCTGTCATACTGTAAAATAATGTGAAATTGTTCTCTAGCTGTTGTAATCTCTTTTCTGATGAGTGCTTTTCTCTTACAGTTCAGGAATCCAAAGGCATCACTCCATACCAGGCTCTCAGATCTGATAAAGCACCTTCAAAAGAGAGGAGAGAGACACTGTCAAGAATTTTACAGGGCCCTACAGATCAATGCTGAACAGCTGTATAATGACCTGCCAAGCAGGAAAATCTTGAGTAAGTTGGCTGAGTTGTCTATTTCCTCATCAGTGAATTATGAAACCTCATTTCACTTGTTATGTTCAGATTATTTAAATGATTATTTATTTATTCCCATATGTGGATTTGACTGCATAGTTCTTGTTATTTGTTGGCTGGTGTAGGCTGTCCAAAATTCTTTGGTAGCCTTGAAATCTGAGTCTGTGCCTTTGAAACAGTTCAAGTTCTACATGTAAGATAGCAATATAACTCATATGAAGGACAGTTCCTCTTTGTAATGGTTGGCCCCTCCTGGCTTTTTTATTTTCAGTATGCTTATTCTAATCGGTAGCAAATCAGAACATTACAGTAGAGTAACCTCAGATTTGTTAATCACAAAGACCCAATGGATGGCAATCTTGCCTTTTTCTCAATGCATAGATCACCCAGTTGTGTCTAGTTGAAGATGAAGCAACCACATTGTTAAATCATGCTTCATTCATAGGTCCTTGTGATGCTGAACAGTGACACCAATCTCTGCGACATTAAATACAGGGCATATTTTGTGCAGCTCACGTGCCTGACTGATGTCCATAAAATTGCCCACCAAAAATAGGTACATGTTTGGACCTCAGTGCTTTTGAGGTACATACATATATGTAGGTTTGACTCTGTACTACAAAGGAGCTCATTTCTCTAAAGAAAGGTATCAAGCCTGACTTTCCTATGTGTTGGTTTCTTCCCCCACCTGAACTGGAGACAAAGGTGTTCCAAAATGCATGGGATGTATGTTCAGGCACACTGAAATGACCTGAGCAGCTTGAGGAAAAGTTCTATGTTTAAGTTAATGAAGCTGCAAAGGGATTGTAGTATAACAAAGTCCTTATAAACGATCTCACAGCTCTAAAGCTTCACTGGACAATTGATTTCTAGTTATTAGAAACCCAGTTATGTGCCAAGGGAAATTGTAGCAATGCGGGTCAAGCTCCAGTTAGATTCAAATTGTCAAAAAGTCAATAGGTTTTAAAAACAAACAAGCAAAACAAAAGCTACTACCACCAACAAAAGCAAACAAAAATTGTATCTCCTTTATTTCTAGACTGTGGCATACTAATTACAAAAAAAAAAAAAAAAAAAAAAGTTGTAATGATTTTTTAATGTATAACATTGTTTAGCCTTTCATGTTGAAAGAAAAGCTTTGTGTCTATCTAGCACAAATAGAAAACAGCTGGAACTACACCATTTCACTGCCTGCACAGATAGGGCAGCTTGGCAGCCTAACTTTCCAAATCCCATACTGAAATCGTCCTGAACAGGGAGACCTGTATGGATTCAGCCTCATGGCAGCTTTAAAGCATGCTTGTAATTTGCTGATCACCTTGCAGAAGTCATGCCCATAGGGGGGACGAGCTCCTCAGTCAAATAGCTGTGAATCTATCATTTTCACCTGAGAGAGAGGTGTAGAGCCACAGGTTTTTCTGCCAAACTGACTGACAGCCTTTAGTAATTAACAGCAACTAGGAATGTAATTTTAAGACTATTCTGATGGTTTAAGTTCTGTTAATATTCAGTACTTCTTAAGTTCTACAAGCCATTTCTGAAAATGAGATTTAACTTATCTGTAGATTTTAGCCAAGTCCTGCCTACGTCCCATAGAGAAGTTAGCTGGGTGCTTGTAATAGCATAGCTGTGCCCAAGGCCATCTGGACCCATAAAAACCTTGCTGGAGGCTGTGTGATGTTGAAACAATGACTCTCCCATTGCACTGTGCTCTGTCACACCTGGACAGGCAGCAGAAAGGAAATTTGCACAGTGCTGTTAGCCAGAGCAGAAGCATGCTCAACTTTGCACCTTGGTGACTGATATAGGCTGGTTTAGCAATAGAAACCAGTATATTAGTTTAAAAATAGGCTGATTGTGGTCCCCCCAAACCACTGGCTGCTATTGCATTATGCAGAGGGACTCCAGGGAACAGTCATTGCTAACCTGGGGAATTTGTTCTAAGGACACAGGTCCAACTGAGGCAAGCAGGCTTTGTAAGCACCTGAAGAAACATTTTGGGGACACTGGTGATCTGTAGCTTGGACAAAATAGATTACATGCCATAGATTACATGCAGCTGTGCATGTGAAAAGTATTTTCCACGCAGATTTTGTTCTTCAAAAAACAAACAAAACCTTCAAAATTTGTGCGAGAACAACGTTTCTTTGCCTCAAATACAATGTTGGAAGTGAGATGTTCAGCAATGTCTACGAGTTCCCACTAGAGGGTGGGGAAGGCACATGGCACAGACCTGTCAGAGCTACCGAAGCCAAATGGGTTTTCCATGTGACTCAGAGAATGTTTTTATTTCTCTCTGAGCTGACGTGAGCTAGAAGGATAAAGGATCCGCTCAGTTCTGCCCAATGGTAGCTTGACAGGAGTGCAGAGCTGGAAGTGTGAGGAATTGTGTGCTAGGTTATCTGGAGAAGACAGCCCTCAAAACACGCAGGCTGCATGCGTGATTGCCATTGGCAGAGTACATCGTGGGGGCTCTGCAGCAATTCTTTCTCCTTCAATGACTCCCAAATGTGCAGCCAAGTGGTTGCAATGCTGCTGCTCTGCAGGAGGGCCATGCTGACCCCCCCCCCCCCCCCCCCCCCCACGGGATGGGAGACGTGCAGAAATGGGAGGAGAATCAGGCTGGGCCTGCTTCAGTGAAGCACACGTACAACTTGGATACTTTACTCCACAGCAGCTTCCTTAGTGTTCTCTCACCCATCCTGGCATGCCCAAGGAGAGCCTAAATGCCTGTCCTGTCTCAAGCGCTTCCAAAGGCTGTTTTGTTATTCCTTTTTCCTGCAAGTGCGGAGGGTTAGCTTGGAGTATACCTTCATGGCTGGGCTCTAAGTGAAGGAAGAGACCTAGCAATACTGCTGCCTTCTGAGACCTTGTGGTTTCAAGTAAATGGCTTCATTGCTGCTAACTCTTGGAAAGCTTAAGGTCAACCTCCTTTTCTACTTGAGTTCACAGAAAAATGTCATCTAGAGGCAAAAATTACTTATGCCAAATGTTAGTATGTATTCCCTCCAGATTTCAAAAGAGACTGTATGTGTATTTAGCCAAGAGCAGAATTTGGAGAAGCAATGTGTGCCAAGCAGTTTGCTGCGAGGGCTCCGTCTGCCAGATACACCCATGCCCAGAGATTTACTCAAGAACAGAAAGGGTGGTGATACATTCAATCAGAAGGTTGTTCTCAGATTAGCACGTGCTTTGGCTCACAAATGTTTTGTCTGTGTTACGCTACAAGTTTCTGGCGTTACGGAAGGAGCATTTCGTGCTTTCCTCACTTGGGAAGCAGTTTGACTGCTCCAAAGTACTCAAGTGTGCCAGGGCTTTTCAGTCGGTGTCCCTTGTGTGTGAATCCAAGAGCTGCTGTATGTAACCTTCCTTCTGTGGGTAGGGCTTAAGCAGATGGGAGGTGCTGCTGCAACTGCTGACAGCTGTTCACAGTGCATTCAAATGACCTGTGGCTGTCTTTTGATCAATATATATCCAGGTGTAACTGTAGCAATGATTCACTTCTGGAGGGGCTAATATTTCATGTCAAAAAGAGGTATTTTTTGGCCATGTGATATTTTGCATGTGCTTATTATGTTTGTGTTTGCTTGAGCTGAATACTAACTTCTGATATGTTGCTTTTATTTCTAGAAACCACAGATTCTGCAGAGATAGACACTGACAAGGAGAAATGTATGCTAAATGACAGGGGTAAATAAATGCACACAGTGTCACTTTACGGAATGGCTTTTCAGATTATGATGCAATTTATTTTATTATATAATTTGCATTTCATGTAACGTAGTTTGTTTTACGATGTCTTTACTGTCACCATCTAAGTAGAATGAATGGAGGGAAGCTCACTGAGCTGCTGCTGAGGCAGCCAGTGCCAGGAAATTCAAGAGACGAGTTTAATCAATATTTACAGTGATATTTTTACTTGTGTTGTTCTAGCTAAGCTGTTCATTTGCTATGATTTTTCCAGTGCTTGAATAGTAAAGGCTATTCTACTGCTGTGATTTTGCACAAAGCCATCTTTTTTTATGTTTTTGTATAGCTTTCAGTTTGTTTGTTTGTTTTTTTATGCTTCCAATTTAAGTACAAATCCTTTGGAAAAAAAAAAATAAATAAAATCAAAAAACAGATGAGCAAGAGTAAACTTAGGTATATTTGCTGTAGAATAACCTGTTACACTTTCTTCCTCTTCCTTTCTCAATGCCCAGATTACAGGGAGGTCAGTAATTTTAGTCACTAGAAGATGTTTTGAAAAGGAATTGAAGAACAAAAGAAACTGAAAGAAAGATAAAGATTTTTTTTTTAAATTCATCATGACCTTTTTCTCATTTAAGTTTTAGTTGATGTTTTATTTAAAAATTTCCATTTGATTATGAGAGATCAAGAGTCTTATATAAGTTTCTGTGGCAGTTTTTGCCCCGGAAGAAGGCTGAAATGAAGGGCAAAGGCACATTTTAACTGATGGTGTGGTTTTGTTTGGGTGCTTATTCCTTTGAATACTCTAATGTGGTTGGCTCCACTGACTTGTTAGTCTGGATTGACAGGTGCAGTTTAAATGTAGTGTAGTCATAGCATATCATAAATACAAATAGAATATTAGATGATAAAGAGGCAGATATAAATCTTTGAGGTCTTTGCTAATGGATAAGCATGAATTAGAAAGGTTCCATTGAACATCAATACTGAGCATCAGCATTAAGCTGTGTGTAATTCCGGGCAGACACGTAAAAGCAGTGTTTCCAGTGAGATTTGTTTGAGGTATGCGTGAGGCGCTGCATTTCAGAACTGTGAACAGGAACAAGAATATTTGCTTTTGTCATGAAAACATCATTTGTGGAACATCTGTATATATACATAATCACACACAGTCCTTTCCTGCTCCATTTTGTATGGAGGCGTGCACAAATGCTATTGGAATAAGCGAGACATATAGCCACAGGAATCAAGTGAGTGATGCCGAGCATCAGCAATGGAGCTATGCTTGGCAGTGCCTGGGCTTCTGGCATCAGCTCTGTTCTCTTTCTCCGGCGTTTGCTATTTTTATGAAGCCTGATCCTGCACGCTTTGTACAGAAGGATGATGAGGTGTGATTGAAGCCAGTGGTGCAACAGGATTCAGAGAAAGCAGCAATTTCAGTGCCAGACAAAAGGCAAAGAAAGGGAACAAACAAAACCCTAAAAACTTGCTTGTAGGGAATTGTAGTTATCTTGTGGTGTATTTTCACAATACTATTTGGTTGTAGCATTTAAAGGGTTTCTTTGCACCAAGTTTTAGGCTAAGAAAATTCCTCAGAAGGCTCTCACTTCCATTTGCTAGAACACAGGTGAGCAGAGACGAACAATGAATGGTGTCAAAGTAACTGTAATAAAAACTAATTACAGCACAGTAAATGTTCTTCATAGTACGTTAGCTACAGCACATACATAATTGTGAATGTGTTAACCTCATTTGAGTACACTTAGTTATGCATATTAACAGCAATCGATGATTTATGAACTGAGATAAACTTTCACTGCTCTGCTCTGTCTTAATGGGTTCCCTTTTCCATTTCCTCTAGGCCCGGTGTTCTTCCTCGCCTGTTTCAGTGCGGCAGCAGGATTTGCCTTGTTTTGGTATTGCTGTAACTCAGGTAATCTACCCTGGTATTTTTCCTGTTGATTGCCTTACTTCAGCACTGCACTTCTCAGTCTAACACAGCTTACTTAATAGAGCGGGTCAAGGTGTCATCATTCATTAATGAGGTTAGGATGCAAACTGCACTTCAGACATGCCGAGATATAAATAATGGATCATTTGTCGACAGAGGATGCCACAAATAGGGGCTCTTTTAAAAGTCAGTCATCACGTGAGCTCCTGTTGCTATGGCAGTGGGTCACAGTTCCCAGCAGCCACGAGGCAGAGGCAGAAGGCAGGACCAAACCTGCTGGCCCCACACCTCTAGGGAGCCATTTGCAGAGCTGGGACTCGGTGCAGTCACTGAGCCTGAGCACCTGCAGTGTTCACCCTGCAGTGCTGGGTGTTTGCCATCCCTGCCCACTGGGAGCTTCTGTTTCACGCTGCAGATACCTGCTCCACTTCCCAGTCCTGCCTGCTGCTCTCCCAGAGAGTGATTCTTAGCAGAAAGGTGTTGGTGTGTGCTCCTGGATTGACTCTGGTGAGCCACTACCAGTGGGAGCAGGCAGCTGGTTCAGAGGGATCCTTTTGTGCCTCTGCAGTGTGGGAGGTGCCACTCTTCATGTGGTAGGTGGGGAGCAGAACTCAAACTTCATGTTGGATCGGTGCCGTCTGCTCCTCATTTCCTGCTCACAGCAGTCACAGTTGGGTGTTGGTGTTGACATTTTTCCAGGAGCTGTGGGTTGCTGACCCTGATCTGTAGCCAAGCTCATGGATGTTTGGGCTGCGTTCCCTTTCATTCCCAGTCCCTCAGCAGGACTTTCCCTGGAGTCAGGGTTTAAGACTAAAAGGGAACCATTAGGCCATAGAGGCTAACCCTAGTGCTTCCTTAGCTGCCTTTGCCTTCCTTCACCAGTATTTAGTACCAGCATTTTCAAAAAGAACCCCAAAAAACTTCCATAACTTCCCTTGATCCCAATTAATTATTCATAGCTCCCAAGTTCCCAGAGCTCCCCAGGTCTTTTCTTTTCAGTTTTTGTTTCTCTTTCCTGTACCAATGCAATGTCTCTACTCCCCCGCAGTAATGGCCACCAGAGCCAGGTCCTCACACTGCCCAGGGCCATGCTTGGGTGCAGAGCTGCTGCCATCCCTAGCTCAGTAGCCTCCTGTTTGTGTGTCTGCAATTGCAGCAATGCTGGTATTCACCGTTATCCTGCCTTGGCAGCCGATGCATGCAATATTGAAGGAAACAGGCTTTCCTCTAGAGTAATTTTTGTATTGATTTTTATTTTTTGTAGATGCTGCTCACTAGCTGGAATGAAATTTAACTGTGTTCATGTTCTTTTTCCTCCCGTCTTCATTTCTGTTTTAGATGCAAAAGTCATAGGAAGATCCAGGAGAATCTTGGGTTTTTCTCCTATTATCATAGGAAGACATGTTAGAAATATTTGTATGTTGTATTTGGAAGACATCTCAAGAAATTAAGGAAAAGCTGCCTCTTCGCTTAGACATCTGTACAGTGTATCTGCCAAGGGAAAGCAACGGTGCATGAATATTAATGTACTATACTCTCATACCAAAGATTTTATTAACTAGCTTCATCAATAATTGTGTTGCCTCAAGATGTATTCAGATTTTCAGCTATATATGTCCTTCCTTGTGGGAATGGACCATTTATTTTTGTAAATGCTTATTTTAAAATATTTATCATTTGGATAAAAGTATTTTTAATACAAACTCTGAAACGATATCCTATCTGATCACAGGTTTGCATATGTGTATTTTATACTGAAATGAAGGAACAGAACTGTTTAAGGAATGCTAGCCTGTCTTTTATGGTAATTAATTTAAGAAAAGCACTTAAAAAAAAAAAGAAAAAGAAAAAACCAAAACCACACACACTCAAAGCCTTACAAAGAAATTGATCTCTATCTCAGGACTGTCTGTTTTGTCTGGATCCTTTATATTTACTACCTGAGCTCAGGTGGGCACTGGCTCCTGCAAATCTTTTCAGTGCCAGTTATCTCTGTATGCCTAGCCATACACATGTCCTTGCCATGTGTTGTAGTCCTTCTGTTTGTGCATCCTTCCACCTGCATTGTTCACCTCGTGTTTAACTGTTTGCCGTGGTTTGAATGCACTGGAACTCATGCAGGCCAGCACCCAGCCCATGAATGTTCTGGGGGACTGCAAGGTCAGATCTGAAGCACTTGAAATTACCAGGGAGACTTCTCAGATTTAGCTTTATCTTTTCCAAGTGGGGTGTTTTGGGAACTGGACATCCAAGAAACTGAAGTAATCCACAGCGTTTTGCAGGGATGTCAAATTGTGACTTTATATTTTTTTAATGGCCAAAAATATGTCTACCTATTTGGAGAGCCTGAGGTTGCTCATAATGCCATTTTGGTTTTATGCTTTTCATCTGTAAGTTGGAACCTGAAAAACTTGCCAATACCATCTTCAACATACAGAATAAGATCAGAGTTTTCGAAGGAGGTTCAGGGTGATAGGGCTGTAAGTTAAGCACACAGGGTTTATGACTCTAACCATGGTCCTGCCTAGCTCAGTATAAATGGCAGTGGGAAGTGGCATTGGCAGTGGGTAGTTCTTCAGTTGCTTGCTCAAGAGTGTAAAGAATTTGGCGAGGGGATGGGACTGTGTGTGACGTGGTGAGAAAGATGCTTTGTCTCTTCTTTCGCTAGAATGAAAATTCCAAATCAAATTTGAAAGCTGTTAGAATTTCTATTGGGATCCTTCAGTGCGTGGTGCCTTGTGCTGTAGCTGCTACTTATTCAGGCAGCCATCCCGTGGAAGACTAAGTGGTTTTCTCAAAACATTCAGATTAAAGATTGCCTTCCAGCTGTAATCTTCATTCGTGCTATAAAAATGTCATCATTTTCTCCCAAGCAAATCATCTCACAGTAGCTATATTTCTTTCCAGGACAACTCACCAGACAGTAGCAAGGGTGTAGTCCAAAAGAAGAATTGTGTACAGGGCCAAGTTTCCAAATAAAAGACCCAAAGAATATTTTCAAGAAGCGTCTGAGAGATGAAAGGGTTCAACAGCTCCTGATTTCACTCTTCTGACAGTGTTTCTGCCTCCTGCACAGTGCACAGGAGGTGAAATCTCGAGTACCTCCAGGGCAGTGTTTTGTGTAGGTGGACATACCCCAGGGTCTGCAGTGGGCCACAGGATATGATACACACTTGACATCTTGATTGACAAAACCATACAAATGCCAGGCAAAGTAACACCCAGCAGGGCAGTTTTAGACTTCTTTTCCCATGTCTCCATCCCACCGTCTGTCGTGACTCCTTGATCTAATCTCCCTGGGAATCTTACTAGGGAGAGAACTCTAATGGGGGTGAGAGCATTTCCTATAGCATTGCCAAACAGCTTTTCTGCCTGAGTTGCACTATGAGCTGCTGCTGTGCTGCCTTCCATCGTGGCTTTAGTTATGTCCTGTTGCATTTGCTGTGCCTTGCCTTATGTTTAAAATGTTTTTTTCTCCAACAAACCATCTGTAATTTACGGTGTTTGGAATTAACTGTTACTCTCCCCCCTGTTACTTAAATCCCTTTTAAGGGAGCTACAAAAAAATAGATTTGAAATCCAAAGGGGTTTTAAATCTTTGCCTTAAAGCCAACTCTGAAACATCATTACAGGAACAGTATTCCATTTTACATGGAAACGTTATTCACAATATTCTCAACAGTCACATTTCATTTCAAAGCAAAGCCAGAGGTCATGATGCTGCTAGGCAGGTTCCTTCTGCTGGGGTTGTGCAGCACTTCACCCTTAAATGACAGGTTGCAAATTGTTGTGAACTGTTGCTGAATCCTGCAGAAGCTGTCAGTGCCTTGTCTGAACTGCAGCAGGAGCAGTGGCTGTGAGGTTGCATGTAGCTCTCCCACTTCTTTATGCCAAGAGGCTTCCTTGAGCCTTGAAAACCATGGAGAATTGGAAAGTTTATGGAAGGCTGTGGCTGTATTTCTTCCTCTTCTTAGGTTGCTCGCGATGAGGATGTCTCTTAGGAAAAAATGCCAGGACAAGCTATCCCCAGGGCTAGGGCTGGGAGGAAGAACAAGCTCAGATTTATCCCAATACTAGTGATGACCTGACAGCAAAGAACAAAAATTATCCGTTCCTCTGTCAGTGCTAGATTTTAGTGTAAGAAGTGAGGCAAGGTTTAGAACTGTTATGTGCATAGGTTTGTGTAGCATGTAGTCTCTGGAGAAAGCAATGACTTGGTTCCTTTCCCTCCTTTTCCCTTCACTGCCGTAATCCCTACAGAAGGTTTCAAGAGGTCGGGCAGAGCTGCAGCAGGTGTTTTGTAGTTCTCTGGGGTAGAGCAGAGCGCTGCAGGTGAGCCTGTTGGGAGATATGCATTTTCTTTGAAGATTTTTCTTTCAGGAACGAATGCCATGGCTTAATACACTTCTTCACAAGTGTGCAGCAAGTGCAGGCAGATGAAGTGATAATGCTATACTTAGTTCTTGGAGGAAGTACATATGTACCTGCCTGGTTCTTCTGGGCAAGCACAGCTCTTCACTTCAAAATAAATTACGTAGGGCCTGGATGAGCCTGTATTGCTGCAGATTCCCAGCTCCCCTCTTAAGTCAAGCTTTGTTTGCTGCTGTAGCTGTGCTGGTATTTGGGAGTGTGCTAGCTGTGTGTGGGGGGAAGTTGTCCTGCATGTGCAAAATTCAGTAGGTGGCTGAGCACGCAGAGGATAGAGGATGTTCTTGCAAACGCTGTGGTAAACATATGGTAGACATAGAGGAGCTAATAGAAAGCAGTCCTGTTTTCAGCTTAACCTCTCACATTGTGCAGCTCTGGTTGGAGAAGAAAAATATTTGCTTTTCTCCTGCAGCATAAGGAGCAGCATGGGCTGAGGAGCCCAGCAGTTCTGATGTCTGCAAACATAGCACTGGGGAGAGGTGGGCAGGAGGACTGACATCTGACAGACTGACAGACAAGAGTGGAAGCATGCGGGTTCTCAGCAGTGCCCACAAGGCTGTGCCAAAGGGCTGACTGCAGCTCTGGGGAGACCAGCCCCTCACTGCTGTCCCACTACCCACCCCAAAGTCTTCCTTCCTCGCTTTTTTTCACGAATGGGCATTTTGATTTAAAGCAAAGCTGAACTGCCTGCGGTTGTCTCAGCCATGGTGTCCGTGCTGCCGAGGTCACAGCAGGATTGCTGGGCAGCCCCAGGCAGTGAGCAGGCAGGCCGAGCAGCTCAGGCAGACTGGGCCGTCTGCATCCCAAGCTGGGAGACGAGGTGACAGCTCACACTATCAGTGTGCACAGCTCCATGTGCAGACAGCCTGCTATTTAAAGTGCTTCAGTGCTGGCTGGTGTACCTGCTAGCGAGGGCTCTAATGAGGTGATCATTCACTGCAGAGCGTGCGGGGCTGCTCGATAGCTGCTGCTGCCACTGCCTAGGCAAAGTTGTCTTCCTTAAGTTCTTTCTTTCTTTTTTTTCTTATACTGTAATAATTTGAAAACATTAAAGCATTTGGTTAAAAACTGCAGTTGCAGATGCCTTGTACTGCTGTTCTTCATAATCAAAAGTTACTCTGAAAACATACCTTGCCTTAGCTGTGTGATCAAGTGTTGCTGTTACACGAAGAAACAGCAACTGTTTGCTGCACTGCACAGGGCCTGTGTTTTGTAATCATTTATCCTCACATATGTCTTCTTTAATTCTGTAAGAATTAATGGCATTCATTTTTTTTTAATGTGAAGCTGGCCATGTAAACTGTAATAAAGTCTGTACTGAGCAAAGCGCTGCTGTGTGTTGTGATGTGCTCTGCCCTTCCCACAAGGGCCCCAACGCCTTGTCCTCATGGCGGCTGTCTGCCTGCTGCTCTCCAGTGCTCGATTTGCTGTGGGACACGTGGGAGGCCCTGGCTTGGCCTCGGTTTGACAACCCTATGAATCATTGCCTGTTGAGGCTGGTGTGGGTCCTAAAGCTACGTTGCAGGAGGTGGCTCAGCTGGGTTTACCTCGACCACTCCTAAGGGGACGGCAGGTGGACAGAGCACACAGACTTGTTAGCGGCCTGTTCTTGTGTGTGAGCTTGAGGGGAGTCTTGCCAAGTGGCAGTGAACAAGAGGGTTGTGGCTGAGCCATTGCGCTCCTTTGCAGTGTGTCTGCTGGGTGTGCTGGACAGAGGCCTCCCATGCCAGCCTACATGAGGTTCCTTAGGGCAGGAGGGCAAGGAGCTCTTCCCATAGTCATCACCACAGCCAGGATGTGTGTGACAAACCGGCATGGCTGCACAAACCTCAGTAGCTCTATACCCCAGATTTCATGGAGCAGAAGCACAGAGCGGGGCCCTGCCTTGCTGCGTGCGCAGGAGAGCATTTCAGGTGAGTCCCAAACTGCCCCTTCTATTTCAGAGCACAGGCCTTGTTAGTCTGCAGCTGTAAGAAAAAGCTTTCCTACATTTTGGTGCTGCTAAATCTTTAATACCATCGCAAAGCAGAAACCTCTCAGAGCTGGGCTGCTCCATGCGGGCTGCTGGTGAGGCTGTGAGCCACTGTAGGTGCACAAGCCCTGTGCACCTCCTGCCCTGCAGCCTCTCACAGCAAGCAGGGGCTTCCTGCCCCACTTACTGCAACCATTCCCACCCCAGCCCTCTATTGCCCCTAAAGAGGGAGGTGGGACCCAGAAACAACAAGCACACTGCTGCTGTGCCTGTGGAAAAGGAAGGGCATGGCAGCAGATGGGAAGGTGCCAGCATCTGGGCTGGATGACCGTGACCCTATGCCACAGTGGTGCTCTCAGAGGTGGCATGGCATAGGACTGCTGCTGGGCTTTCCCAAGTGATTTTCATCAGCGTAGTTTTCACAGTTCCAGCACAGATGTGAGAATCAAGTCCTTTCCAATGGCTTAAATAATTTTCTTCCTTGATGCCAAACAGTTGGGATAACACTGGGTGGTGATGGAACTGTTCCTCTCGTATATTTTTGGTGCCAGGGCAAACAGCTGGCAGTGTTTCAATAGTTCTGGTGTGGCTCTGTGTATTGTGGCTGCTGATTTACAACTCTTCTCCTAAATAATTCAGTTCTATCCTGCCAAAAAAAAAGGGTTGGGACTGTCTCTGAGCTGAAGGAGAACTGAAGCACTCCTGGATCAGCTGCAAGGGAGACCAGGAAGAGGTTTGCTTCTCCCACGGGGCTGAGGCAATGCCCTGGGCCAGCAGCCAGGCACCAAACACTGTGTGCCAGGAAGTTTTGCAAGAAGAAGAGTGCCATGAGAACTGATCTCTGCTTCAATAGTCTGTGGAAAGAGGAAAAAGTGAGTTCAGACTCATTCCCTGCATCCAATCACAAGGAAGGGCATTTTTTTGCCATTCCCACACGGAACCCAGATGGCAGGTTGGGCCATAGATGGTTGTGGATTCTCTAGAAGATCATGTTCCGTGTCTTTCCACTGTTTGCCATGATTTGCTGGGTAACTTGTGGCTCCCCTCCTGACACACATGATCACCAGGAGCTGTGAGAAATGGGACCATGAGTGGGGCTTCCCTTGGGGCACTGGGAGGATTGGCTCCTTCCTGCCTCGCTCGTTATGTACCTCAGCTGTGGAGATAGGCTCTCCCTTCTCACCTGGGGATGTGATGGGTAAGTGAATGTGGGGGAGATATATGGGCAACAGTGGAGCAAGGAAGGATGTTTGGTTCCTGTCTAGGCTGGGAGGCTCTGATAAGAAGACTGTATGATGGTTGGAGGGCTGTATGAACAAGTACAAACCTATTGGAGGATGCCTTGTTACCAGGTATGTTGTACTGAAGGCCTGCAGGGTCAGGTGGCTGGGGTGTGGGTTGTGAGCAGGTGCTTTGGAGTCAAGTGTTGCAGGGCACATTGAAGGAAGGTCGATGTATTTGTGTGTATTCAAGTAGTGTGGGCCATGACTCTTTCTGCCAAGTGGCAAATAATTACTATCTGTTGGTTTTTGGGGTACCAGTTGTTTCCGGAGGTTATTTTAAGGGAAATGCAGTGTCGTTGGTACCCTTCTGTAGTATCCATTTCTGGATGTTGGTGTGACAGTGATAAAGCTGTTGTCTGAAGAACTAAACAGCACTACTTTAGCTTTTTTAGATTGCTGCTCTATGAGTGGTGCAACAATGCTGTTGAGGCTGTATTGAGGCTCTTGATTTACTACTGGCTTTGCATTTCTTAATGGAAATAAAGGGTTTGTGATATTGGCTATGCAAAGATGGGATCATATTTTAGCATTATAATTCACCTATTTAAATTCAAAAATCACTGATTTGAAAGCGTAACAGAGTCCTATGGCAGTGCTGTGGTTTTCTCTCCATGAAACCAAAACAAGGGAGGCCCTGCTCCCATCAGTCACAGTGCAGCTGACATGCTGTACGCTGCCTCTAACCTAAGGGAGGTCTGCAGATTTATTTTCAAGGAGTGTTTATTTTCAAGTGAAGTATGCAGGTTATCAGAGCTGAGTTATGCATATGAATGCCTACCGCCAGCTTCTTCTTGCCCATGGCCTGCGGTAAGGAAGGGTATTTCCAGTGAGCCTGATCTCCTGTGGTTTGATGGATTGCACTGTAGGATGACCAGTTTTCCGCAATGGATCTTTGCCTTTTTTTGGAAACATGTAAAATAGTGCACGAATGGATGCCACGTGTAGTGCTTACTGAACCAGATACAATTTGTAGCACCGCCAACATTTCTAAGCTAGCAAATAAGGAAAGCATGCATAGCTTTTTGAGTTCTGCCACTCTTTCCTGATAATTTTTTTTTGTAAATATTTGAATGCTTGATATTGTAATGCCTCTTACAGCTGCTAACAACAAAAATCATACAAGCTTTTATTGTAACATGCAGTACCCCTCTGAGCGCAGGGCAGTGACAGCTGCTGGCAGAGGGACATGAGGGACATGTTCCTCCTCCTGCACACACCCTGCTCAGCAGGTATGGTGCAGCTTACAGGAAGACATAGCAGAAACGGGATAAAGTGTTTGTCTGGATAAATTAAGTGCCCAAAACCTCCTGAGTGATGGCTGAGGGAAGCAGTGAGCAGGATTGTATTGCTAGTTCAGCCTGTTCTATTCAGCTGTCAGCTAGTGACCTGTTTTAGAAGACAAATGCTTACAATTCACTTCCAGTAAATAACTGTTGTCATCCCCTAAAGTAAATACAGTTATGTGAAAACTTCAGCATTGTCAGGCCTTGATGCTGAGGGACTAATGAGAACAACCAGAGCAGCATGTGTAATTCTTACGCTGCCCAGCAGCTTATGAAACAAGTAAATAGATGACCTGGCATGAACTGTTTCCTGAGAGAGCCAACGAAGATTCATTTCGCTTTATTATTGATGACCTCTTTTTAAGTGCAATGTTTGCCTGCAACCAAGAACTCTGGAGAAGCACAGTGAACCAAAGAATCATTCAAACTGATGTATTTGTTTGCTGTCCCTAGGAAATGCATACTAGGGTTTTAAATAAGTACCTAATTTTAAAAAATGTAATCATGAGATTTAATTATTTATACTTGAAACCAACTTGCAGATGCTTTTTGTCTGATAAAAAATACATGACCTCTGGAGGCTTCAGAGACTTAAAACCCAGATTGCATGTCTGAAGAAATGTTTCACATTTTACTTAAGCACAACAAAACATGCAGTGATAATCCTTTTTAATTTTATTTTTAAAAGAAAGAAAATGAACAAAAAATCCAAATGTCTGGTTGTAAGTTGAATACTGTTGATGTCCAGCAGACATGGATGACCTCAGGCTCAGGCTTTCATGTGTCAGGATTAGAAGAAATCAAGCCTTCCGAAGTCGCAGTGATTCCTGTTTTGCTGTTGTATCCAGCAGCTCAGGATGACTGAAGGACTACTTGTGCTAAGCCTGGTTCCAGCAGCCTCCAAGTGAGCGGGCATCTCCCCCTAAATGCAGATCAGTCCTTGGCACTCAGCAATGCATTCAACGTTAAGTATTTTTCTTTTCCTCCTGTATGCCCCCAAAATTGGAAGGGTCCACTGGAATCAGTAGTTGACGTATCATCACACTGTGAATGCTTCACACCCCAGTGCTCTGCACGCTGTTATTTTTTCTTTGCTACAGTACAGATGGCTGGGAGATGGAATGGTGTGCCTTGTCCTTCTGATACATCTGTACTGCTGCCCTATCAGGCTGCTCTCATGTGCTTCAGTGCACATGAGAGAGGTTTGTAGCAACAAGTGGTGCAGGAATGGAAAGCTCCATTTAAAACCAGGCCATATTATCACCACCTATAAATAGAGTATGCATCAGTAGAGCCTTTGTCTGCATCAGCCTTTAGAGCAGTAAGAACAAATCAGAATATTAGAGCATTAAGTACCAAAAACATGTTGGGCCGCTGCCTACAGTCACCTCTTCCCAAGATGGAAATATGTTTAAGGCTTTCTGCATTGCTGTGTGGCCAGTATAGCACTGACACTGCTGTGACACAAGTATGTATAAACACTTCACTGGTTTGTATTAAAAACGAAAAAACTGTCCTGAGGTCCTGAGTACCTCATTCAGTACTTTTTGGAGCTATGCTTAAATTTGTACAGTGCACATAATTAAAACCATTGTTAGCCAAATACTGGTTAAATATATGTTAAGTTGGAAGCAACAAAAAAAAATTCAGAGAGAATGTAGCCTATTTTATTACTAGTTGACAGGTTTCTGATTTGTTTCCTGTCAATAACTGCTATAGAGCATGTAAATGAAGATACATCAATGCACCTTGGAACATAATTAAAAGAGAAATGAGATGAGATACGTGGAAGACAAACTTCTATTAATATGTTCAAGATAGCATTTAAAACTTAATTGTAAGGAAATGTATTAGAACAAATTGCAACTATAACAAAGCATGATCTAGTAAAGCAGGACTTTCTGACTGCAGATGTAATTCTTTGGAAGTGTAAAAATTGCCACAATTTTTTTTTTTTTTTTAACATACACCATTACTTGCAATACTGTATTTAGAAAAAGCGTCAGTCCCTGAGCCAGCAGGTAATAACCTGAAAGATATATATATATCTATATCTATCTATCTATATATCTATACATACATATATGTATGCGTGTATTTAAAGTTATTTTAGCCATAAATTCATAAAAATAGCATAACTGCAGCAGTTGCTATCTCAAAGAGGAAAGAGCAAGTCATGAGCTTCCTACTAGAGCTGCTGGCAGGCTCTCAGCACCAGTTTAGCAGGTGAAGTTTACCCTGTATCCTCTAGTTTTCCAGCTGGACACAGAATAAGGAGCTATTTTGATAGGATTTCCAGAAATATGTCTAATGCTCAGAAAATCACAGAATCACAGAATCATAGGGGTTGGAAGGGACCTCCAGAGATCATCGAGTCCAACCCCCCTGCCAAAGCAGGTTCCCTACACCAGGTCACACAAGTAGGCATCCAGGCAGGTCTTGAATATCTCCAGAGAAGGAGACTCCACCACCTCCCTGGGCAGCCTGTTCCAGTGCTCCGTCACCTCACCTAAAGAAGTTCCTGCGCACATTGGTGCGGAACTTCCTATGCTCCAGTTTTCGGCCATTACAGAATCACACAGAAAAAATGGAGTATAGGAATAAGTGATGGAGCAGTGAGGTTATCTGTGTGTCTGTGCAGACAGAAGAGAGCTTTAACTGTGGTCCAGAAATGAAGAAACAGAATGCAGGACTACCTGTGAGGAAAAACTGGCCAAAAGATAGTCTACTGCTTCTAGGTGTAGCGCTGTTTTAGTTAAAGAATGAAACTCGGAGAGGGACAGAAAACAAGACACAGCTACCTTGGAAAAATGCAAGGGAAAACTGCTGTGCTACAGGCAGCATAGGTACCAAGTGGATGAAATGAAGGACAATGGGAACGTGCCAGACTGGAGGCCTGCAGCTTCTTACCACTGTGTAAATGTCAAGTCACTGTAAAAGCAAAAGGCACAGAAATGGGAAGTCTTGAAATGTGTGAAGTCCCATCGGTCAATGCTACCTGTTTATGCCACTTTTCTGAAAAATTATCTACAAATTGAAATGCCAATCCCTGGAAAAGCAGTGTCCTTGGGTCAAAAGCAATCTTTCCTTAGATGCCAATTGAAGTATTAACACATTGGAAAACTCCAGGTACACAGATGTGTTGCTTGTTGGAAACCTGAGAAAGCTGCTCTGTGTGTCTGGCTTCTTCAGATTTTTTTTTTAATGTGTCCAAGTGTAGCTGGCCCACATGCAAATGGCATCTATAGAAGAACGAATGCTTCAGATCTCTGAAATGAGAAACAAAGATACTGAGATGTTAGTGATTCAGGAACCACAGCAAATGACAAATTTACTGGGGGGGGGGAAATTAAGTTTTCTTTTCAAAAGTGTGTGTAGTAGAAATGAGGCCAGCAAGTGACTGCTTGTTTCTCTTAGGGCTCTGAGGTAACAGAAGCCCACTGTGAAAAACATTTATCTTTCAAATCTCATTCATACAGGTATTTTTAGCAGAAGCAATGTGTACAAATTAGCAAACAGATGTAATTATCCAAACTAACTAATACATTTCAAATCTGGATTAAAAAATATGAATTCTAGGCACTGCATCTAGCCATTTTATTAGGAAACTCCATGTGTGAAAAGCATGAAGGTGAAATGATGCAGCTACTGTTTTTTATGGATGTAAAAAGTAAAATTTGGTCTTGTCTCTACCCAAGATTACATAAATTATCTATTTCCCCTTTATCAAGGCATTGCAAATTTATTAAACCACTTTCAGCAGTAGATACAGATCACATTTCTCTGTGAGAAGAATGCTCTGGCTGTGCAAAGCAATACACAGCCAGCTGGATGAGCTATCATCAGCCTCTAGGCACAACTGTTTCATGCTGTCATGCTGATCTCAGATAAGTTGCATGGAAACTGACATCTCATCTGAAGTACAACTTCTTAACTAGTGATTCCATGGTCCTACTCATAAGTAGACCATAACATCCTTTGGATTGAGAGTATATAGATTACAGAAGGAGCCCACAAACCCACTGGTGCTTCCATACAACTCAGCTGTGTGAGAAGGAGACAAAGTCCATGGACAGCTGGCAAAATTTTCAGGGGGAAGCACTCTGCACATTTATACAGCTCATGCACAGTGATGTTCAGAACCCAGCCTCATGCAGAATTAATGTGCATTAATGCCTCCCCAAACTGAACTGGCCTGTAGTGCACAGAGCTCTCCATCAGTCTCTAACAGCTGCAGGGTTCCTTAAAGCCCTTTGGTACTGAGTACTGTGTTTTTTTTCTTGTGAAGACAGCTAAAACTCCAGTAATCTTTCAGCCTGTTTTTCTTGGGTGTGTATTTTTCTTGTCAGTGTAATTTTGTGGCTAGTGCTTCAGTGCTGTGTTCATGTGTGCTGCTGAAATGGATGTTCCATGTATCTCTTTGATAATGTTTCAGAGAATTCATGCATCTACTGTTAAAACTAAATCCTAATATCTCTAGAAAAGATGGCCAGGAGTTACAATTAAACTATCTCATTTTAATGCCAGAAGTGCACAGGTCTTGGTAAAAGCAGACTCTTTATCCTAGCTCCCCATCCTGCTCAGCATCTCAACAGATTCCTTCTGGTTTCCATTCTTGCTACAGATTTCTGCTGCTGTTCCTCTTCAGACTAATAGGTTTTAATGCTTTGTACTTTACTTTTTGACTGAATGAGTTTAGAGATTTAAGGGCAATTTGCTTTTCATATAAAGTGTTAATACCAGCAGAATGTGTTTTGAAAGTCTCAGTGTAAGGCCTTGAGCTGCTTTTTCATAGCAGGTGGTATCTTGAGAGGACTTCGTCTGGAAGTTCACTCAAACACACGATGTTACAGGGTTGGCCAGAGTACCAAGCCTTGCCAGAAAAATCAAGCAACTCTTTCAGGAGGTCCTCTGACAGTGATTTGGAGATCTGCGATTTGAGATTTGGAACACAGAGCAAGAGCAATGCTGGCCTGTGCTGACTGAGCAGTGCTATTTTAAAGGCAGATGTTGGAACATAGCAGTTCTTGGACTGTAAACCTGCAATTTAGGTTTATTTCTTCTCAAATTGTTCATCATCGCTATGACACCAGGAAGATGCTCAGTTTGATTCTCACAATTCCTGTATTTATCCTTATGTCCACATATCAAATAGTGTCCATCTTTAGGCTAAATCTGCCATAAACAAAAAACCCTGCAACTTGGGAGGAAAGAAATCACAAGGTCTGCATAGGTACTGAAGGGCTCCCATGAGTCTATATTATATGCTGGATTTATCAGCCCTAGCAGTTCCCTGGCTAAAGATTAAGAATTCAGTACTCCTCACAGACTGGGTGCCACATAGAATTTTCCTTGCAAAAAAAAAAAAAAAAAAAGACATTTAGAGGAAGCAATATATTATTATTTTCCGAATTGGCTTAGTCAGCAATGAGAAAAAGGAGTGGATAAGCCAGAAGGAAGCCCTTGTCACTTCCTATCCGTGACACACACATTGGGTCCCTGGCACTGCTGTCAACTTTTGAACTCCGTGTTTACAAATGCAAGGAACTCCTACTGTTATTATAGCGTAGCATCTGCTTTTGCAGCAGTTTGAAGACAACCCATTTATCTGTAAAGTCTGGAATGATACAGGGAAACTCACTGCTGAGCTTCACTGACAAGTTATGCCACAGAGGGCAGTGTGTTCTTGTGTGCTACATCCCACTGTCTTATGGCACAGAGCCAATACTCACCTTGTACTTACTGCCTTTACTCTGACTTGACACCTGGCTTCTGAACTCCAAAGGCAGTGATGAAAATGTTCACAACAACTATAATGAATACTAGTCCGGTTGCGAGGTTGTTGAGGAAATCCAGCTTACCATGTTTTGCAGGGTTGTTAAGGTCATATTTTACTTCAAAGAGAAAGGAGAAAAGAGAGATTTAAGCATATGAATATTTCAAAATCCAGAATAAAAGTCTTCATTATTCATGTAGTTAAAGAATTTCTTACATGGAGCTATTTGCAGCACTCAGACTTAAAAGGGAAGGACGATTTTGCACTGTCAGTAAAAGCGCTAAGGAGAAGATCTTTAATCACAAGGCGCCTAATAGGCTCCAGTAATTAGCATCTAATCTCTGTGGATGCACAAAGGCATGCACAACATTACAAGGAACCTTCTGAGTTCTTGATCTCTTAAAGTCTGCAACAAAACTAGATTTCAAACCTTTAAAAATAATTTCAGTTATGAAGCTTGAAGCCCTGACAGGATGGGATGAAAGTACATTTCCTACAGTTAGATGCTCCAGGCCCTTCCCAGCCAGCCCTCCCTCCTTACAAGTGCTGGATGTCTTTGTACTGGTGCCCTTCCCCAGCTGTACAGCTTTTCCCCTCTCCAGTTCTTGCACTGACTCTTTTCAGAAAGCAGTATCTGTTAAACAGAGGAAGGTTTCAGAGCGGTGTAGCTGCAGCTCTTGTCACAGGCAGCACCAGATGTGTAAATGTTTTTCTCTGCTTCTTGCAGTTCTGTGGTTAAACTGCTAATAGAAGATAGGGAAGACCACACAAGGAAGATACTATTAATTTAGCTTAAGCTTTGATTCCAGGCCTTGTGAAAACAGAGATAAGCTACACTGAGCTGATAACAGACTTGATAGACTAAAATGTGCTTGTTTCAGGGAAAGAAGAATGGGGGGGCTTGGCTGTCTCCATGTAAAAAGCCAAGATTTTTCTCTGCCTCTGTTCTCCTACAGGGAAAAGCTTATACCTGGCAGGTTCTTTCAGCAACACAAATAAAACTGACTTTTTTTTTTTTTTTAATGATAGGTGCATACATATGCTTGCAGCTCTGTTGTGTGAAGTAAACTTTATTTTTAATATAATGTCCCTGTCAGCACTATGGTCCTTAACCACAGAACCAGGGCTTGCTCACTCTGTGAATCAGTTAAGCAAAGTGGTGGCAAACACATCCAAGATGCTGAAGCATTAAAAGCCAGATTCCCTTGGTGTCTGCAATTAGGAAGTCTAATGCTGTTTTGGTCTGAAGGAATTCTGGGCACCTGTTCAAGTCCTGTTTGCTGATGCTGTACAGTTGGGCAGGGTGGTCAAAGCACTGACAAACAGTGTGGGGAAACAACTTCAACAGCTTAAGCTACTGCACACCTGTGTTGACATGGAATAACTTAAGCTCAGCAATATTTAAACCTGAAAATGATCTTCTATGTGATAGTAAGGCATTTGGAGCTATGTGGAGATTTGCATCCTAATAGTGCCACTAAAGAATCCGGTGCTTTCATGTGAATGAAGCAGAATAAATGAAATGGAACATTAATCCTTAAGTATGTAGGAAAGACATTTTAGACAGCTGGCTGGCTTTAAAACTAATAAAAAGGCACTAATGGCCTAGCATGTTTTGTGAGTTAGAAGAAATCATGCTTGAAGGAGAATTGCCACTTTCAGAGCTGTTCCTTCCTCCAAAATGAGGACTACAGAAAATGCAACTTAGTAGTTGAGGCTCTAAATTTTGAAGCAGGATTGCAGCAATCCTATCTCTGTTACTACAGTACTTCAAATCATAGTGTTTGCAAAAAATGATGAGCTATTCTCTGTGTTTTACAAGTGGGATTAGAATACCACCATTTCATGTCAACTCTACTATTTCAACACATACTTTACTTTTATTTTAAAATGCTGGGACTGCCACATCACTTTCAGGGACAAGTTTGAACATTCCTCAAAATACCAATTTTGGAAAATCTGTTGCAAATTTTTTAAGCTACATATTCTGAACATGTGATTGTAGAAGGATGCAGAGATTTTCAGAGGAGTCTTGGTGCTGGTTTAGTCTGAGAGGGAATTTCCAACACTTCCTTTTTCACAGAAAAGACTGAGCACCCCTTATTTCAGGCTCACAACTGTCTTGGTTTGTCTTTCTGGAAAAGTTGCCATCAGAAAGACAAATGGGAGGAAGTCTCCATAAAAGGCAGGAGACAACCATGGGCTGAATTGGGAAGCTCTAAGAGAAAAAGGGCCTCTTGGTGTTATATAAAATATTTGTCTGCCTTCTTTGTCAGGGTTCAAAGATAGCATTTTGTGGTGCTCATAAAAGCCCTATTTTGAAGGAGGAAAAGCTTTTAATCCCTAATAAAGAACAGTGAGAACTTGTAGCTCCTGGGATGAAACTGAATCAAAGTAAGAAACCAGGCAATGGTTGGGACTTCTGCTGGGAGTTGTGTGCCCTTCTAAGAGGGCTCCAGGCAACAGCAAATTGTTCTGTAGGCCAAAACTACCAAACACACACTGTGGAAAGCAAGCTATTGCTGCAGTGCCTTCATCTTTGTACCTTCATGCCACTTCCTATCCTCAGTACCTTTTGAGCTCAGCAAAACAGTATGTTCCACAAAAGTTACCCCAACCAGCATACTGTGTGACTTTGGTGTACTCAAAGCCCCAGACATACGGCCACTGTTGAGCCCAGGCTGGGCTCCTGATATATCTCCCTATTCATGAAGCAGTCTGTGAACCACATTGCAGCACAGCTTTGAAGTTAGGGTTATTCTTTACTTTTTTTTTTTTTTTTTTTTGCTAATTTTGTCAAAGAAATTACTGAGAAGGAGGCCAGTTGGAAGTGCCTGGCAGAAATGATAAATGAGTCCTTGAGCAGGCTTTTAGGCTGTAAACAACTAACACAACCACCAGGGAGATGCCTTCAACCACTTATCTGTATCTTGGTGCTGTTCTCGCTCGTTTTTCCATGACTCTCGCCACACTCCCCAGTACCATGAGCTTACTTTTTCCAGTCCCTTTCTGGAATCTCCCCTGTGCCAGGACCTGGATTTTACCCTTGTGCCAACTCTGCCAAATGCAGAGACAGAAGTTCTCAGTCTCTTTCGTAAGAATAAAAAAGCTATGTCAGCTGCACATCAATATTACAGGCCAGATGTATCCTCATTTCCTGACAACTTCCTCCTTGATCACAAAGCTGTTCAGTTGTGAAACTGGAACACTGACAGAGCATCAGAAAGCCCAAGGTAGCCTATATAACTTAGTAAATGCTCTATGTGAATGCTGGCTATCACTATGTAGTAAGCTAAGGAAGCTGCTCAGGCTGTATGTTGATATTATATGTCATGGTTTTGACTAATGTCATGGAATGCTTTTAGGGTAAAATCTTGCTCCAACCTAGGAAAGAAAACTTATCTTTTTAGCTTTAATTTCAGTTTGACATGGGTTTAAGAAATCAGTGATAAGCATGTTTGTATGATTCCTTCTCTAGAGATTTAAGATGCTTTGAATAATTCCCTAAATTTAAAACCAAGAATTTTTAACATGGGTTACCAAAGCTTTGACTTAATTGCAGAAATTCAAGCAAGCCAATGATGATAATATAAAACACCAGTGTGAAGATGGACAATCCAATCTTCATTTCTGTTCAAGGGTTCTATATTCACAATATATTCTTATAATATCACTTATGATATGACTGACATGGAGTAAATATATCTTGGTCATAAGATTAAGTAACAAGTCTTGCCAAAAAAACAGAATTATGAAACTGGGCAGACTGCATGATCATATCTGACCTACTAATGTTTCTTTTATAATATTTCACCAGTTTCCTTCCTCCTTTAGACTTTCTGAAAAGAGGAATATTCATGCTCTTCACAAATGAATATCAAAACTGAAGATTCCACATAAAGCTGCCCTTATTCCTTTTGTTGTAATATTTCTATGGTCTTAAAGAAAAATGTAATCAATTTCGATATCGACGCATTCAAACACAACAATTTTTAAGAATAAATGGAGAGTCTGTATGCTCAGGTTGCGTTCCATAAGAAAAATACACATCAGTGTTTTTTGCAGTTGCTACGTACCAAGGAATATCAGGAGTACTCCCACCATAACTTGCATTGTGAGCGACAGGCTGATAAGAACAATAAGGGGCATGTAGAATGAAAAAGAAGGTCCTTGCTCAATCACAGCTTTCAGCTGTGATGCATTGGCCATCAGCAGAGCAATGTCCAGCATGCTCTCCGCAGCGCTCTTCTTGTTTGCGTAGTGGTTGATATTCATAGGTCCATTTCTCTGAAACCACTGTGATGGTCTGTACTAAAAGTGGGAGAAGAAAAAAGGTTATTCGTATTTATTTTAATTAGTGTAGAGAGTCAGAGACAGCCCATCAACTGATTTCTGTAGGGATACTGATAAAGTAACAGTAGTACTAAGGCTCTACGTGCTTCTCCTTCACTGCTACCGCTGCCCTCCATCTGATGGCAGAACTGTAGTGATTGTACTAGACTTGGGCAGATAAACTTTGTCCATCTTGAAGGACCACTCTAATCATTGTTTCTACCATGAGAAAAGTAAGAACTGGAAAATCTGCAATGCTTGCACTGAGAAAGGCTGGGAGGAAGAAAATCCCAACGACATACTTAAAACCACAAATATTTATTAAATTCACACTCGGTGGACATCACACATCTGCCTAGTTCTTCATTAGTCTTGAGTCTCATTTTGAGGATTTACATGGGAGTTGGCCACTGTATGAGCTTTGCTTGACCTTTTTTCCTGCAGTTTGTCACTCTGCCATACCACCGTCCAGGTCCTTACACAGACAACAGTTTCTGTTGAAATATCGTAAGACTCGTGGTTGCCAAGCACTGCCCAATTACAAGGGTAGCTTTTTTTTCCATTTTCCCATCAGCAGAGGTTTTTGAATTCCTGAGCAAACAAATAGGAAAAAAACAGCCTACTGCAGGGCAAAACCAGAGCTGGTTAATCTGGAGGGATGGATAAAATGAGCATTTCCTGATGACGATTCAGGTTACCTAACCTGGAATTTGACAGAGTGTCTCCAGTGGTTCCTAATTCCTCATGGGGTAGATGCAGTGTATGTAACTAGGCTAGGTGTGGAAGCCTAACCCTTAGATGAAGGAAGGTGAGGTGCTGCTCTTCTGCAGATTCCAGACAGGTTAGGATTTCACTCTCGTGGATCTTACTTGTAGACTTTATAAAAATAATATTCAAATATCAGTTTACTTTGGCTGACTGCTTCAAATCTGCTTCTGAGAGATGTTTTTACTGCACAAGTATGTCGTGCTTGCTAGAAAATACTGTGAGGGAAATTTCTTTTTAAAGAGAAATGCAGAAAACGCCCTCAAATCGCTCTCTTTAGTGGCTCTAATAACCATCAAATTTCCAACTCGAGAGCCAAGTTTGCCACTGACCAGACTTAAAAGCATTTTGTTAATAGATAGATATTGATACATAGAGCAAACGCATTCCCAGTTTTTTCAGGGCATTCAAATGTCCAACTTGACCTATTTTCACCAGACATGCTGTAACCAACCACTGTCTAAATATTTTACTGAGAGAAAAATGTCATGGGGCAGCAGCAGACTTCTTTTTGCAGAGGGAATTAAACCGTGTAACCATAGCTTCATGCAGATGGCTTGTTTACTCTTCCGTTGCTCAGAGAATGGCTCTGAAACTGATACCAGCTTCAGTGGGGAAGCTAGTTATGAGTTTGCTTTTCTCTGTGTTCTGCAGCCTAAAAATGAAATTTGTGTGACTCAGGGGTCTGTGCCTCAGTTCATCACCTTTCCTCTCCCCAAGCAGTCTCCTCTTTCGCTTCCAACCCCACTAAGCTGCTCTAGCACTGGGATATTTAGAGTTAGTGCTTGCTCCTCGTGCAACCCTGCTGCAAGCTCGACAAAAGGTGTGAATGCTCATTTCCTTATCTAGAGCAGCATGAAAGATACACTGGCGGTACTCACTAAAAAAATCCAAACTAAGATTTTTCACTACTAATTGTACAGAAAAAAAGATTCTTGCCTTACATAATACGTAAGACAGGGTGGGGAATTACGTGTGGAACACCAAAACTTGACTTCGGGGTATGAGTTTAAAAAAAGAAACTCTTCTCAGCAAACGTCAGAATTTTGTAGTGACTTCCTGATAGATTAAATTATATTTTCTTTTGTCTAGTAGCTAACTAACTATTTCCAAAAACAAAGTTCTAAATTATTCCTTGAGTTCACAAGCTTTCAATATGTAACACAGGCAAAGATTGCCCGGGTAGCTGTGCTCCAGTCTTATTCCTGATGGAAGGAGGCTGCAGCTGGAGCTGTGCTGATAGAGTACTGCTGACAGCTTTCACTCCACATAGGAATGTGATCATAAGCTTGAAGTGACTACTTTAAAAAAAAAAATTATATTGAAGAATAAACAATCTGGACTACATCTTTCTTTTAGTTACCTATATAAGATACAGGGCTCTTCCTATGCAGTCAGCAGAATGCAATCTCTTTTCCAGGGCAAGTACAGGACTGCACAGTCAGGACTCTGCAGTCTGCTAATCCCGTTTCTGCATGGCCAGCCAGCACACAGCACCAATGGCATTTGAACTGCTATGGAAGCAAAAGCTGGGTCACCTCTGGACTCTGATAAGTAGAGAAGACTTTAGCAAAGAAGTAAAACTTTGTGCTTCTAGCATTCCCAGTCAGCTGTTTACTAGGTGTGAGTCTAATGGAAGGCATTTTAATCTGCAAGGAGACTTCCAGCCAGCACTGCTGCCAGCAGACCAGACGCAGTTGGAGCTGGGCACAGGGAGGGAGAGGCCCCAGGTCTGTGGCAGAGTGTCCTCAGCTGTGCCTCATGCTGGAAAGAAGGGTGTGCAATCATGGAAGCCTCAGAAAATGGTTGTTTCCCTTTTCTTAAGAAATGGAGCCTTTTCTCTCGTGATGGAAAACCATAAAACCAAAAGAATGCAAATTAGAATGGTCTTAGGGAAGAACTTAAAGGCAACTGCCAAAGGATCAAAACAAATGCAGGCAGTGCTCTGGAAGCAGTTTTTAACAACAGACAACGTGTTGCACGGCAATATATAGACAGGCTGAAAGGAGAGCTGCTGCCTTAACCTCTGTTAATGATAGTCCTGCATGGCAGAAATTACATGGGGATGCTGTTATGTGGCTTTGTGGTTTCAGGGAGATGCCAAATGGCTGCACTGAGTGGCAGTTACCGTGCTACTGTCACCTGCTGGGATGCAGGGACAGTGAAACCACTGGAGATTCCCTGTGAGACTTGCAGGTGCCACTTGGCAGGACAGCACTCCTGTGCAAGGGGAGTCCTGTGACCTGTTTCGGTTGTGATTGTAATCACAATCACCACAATCACCAGCAACCACCTGGTACAGATGAACTGATCAGTGTGCTTTGCATTGTCAAACGAGTCCAAGGAAAGGCAGCACACAGTCACAGGTGCATGCACAAGGGCTGCATGCAGCTGCACTGTCTCTGGGCAGCAGCACTCAGTGCCCACAGGGCAGTCAGCTCCCTGGAGAACTGCTGGGGTGATGCCAGGACGCTGCACTAGAAGCTGATGCTTTCTGCTTCCACGAAAACAAACCTTGTGTTTACTTCTTCACACTGGGAATTGAGTTTTACAATACGTCATCTTACTGACAACCCTGTGGGTACAGGCTTTGCCTCTGCTTTGCTTCACTAGCTGTCTTAATGGCACACCCAGAATAACTGAGTCCCCCTCAGAAATACAGAAAGGATTTATTCACTACGTTTATTTAAAAATAAACACGACACTGAGGTAGATGTCCTTAAATGCTGAGTTGAATCAGATCTAAGGCACACCTGGTGATTTAACAGGAAGGAAACAGTGCTGAAAATGGAACCTTTGAGAAGAAATCATAAAGTATCTTTGTTAAATACTGTGACCAGTTATAAGGATTCATGCTTCTACTATGACAGTAAATCATTTCATGTGACAAAGTTTATACGGCTGCTTGCTGAACAGGGTATTTATCAGGCACTAGGACTGCTGAAGCAGTCCAATTAGTCTGCTGGAAGTCTGAGAAAGAGGAAGAGCAGGAGCAATTTGGTGTCTTGTCCAGCTTGAACTCTGAATTGCCCAGAGTGGTACCAGTGGTACCAGTGGAGTTTTTCACATGCCAGTCATCTGGGACTTGTGGAGGAAAAGAACAGTAGTGAAAACTAAGAGTATTTTAAAGCTTAATTATGTTTGTTTCTGTCACTGCCCTATGAATGTGGGAGGAAAGATAAAATGTGAGCGCCAATCTTGAGAATTCCTCTCTCCTTTTGGGATATACCCAGGTACTTCACTTAGCTTCTTAAATTTTTTCCTATCATATGCATAATTTCTTAAAGGGATTATGTTAAGAAAGTCTTACAAATTAATACGTATGAGAAAAATATTGCCTGAACTGATAGGACCTTGAAATTTCCAAGCTAAGACTGAGATTTGAACATTGATGTTTGTGTGACTGTTCCTGTGAATGAAATTAGCAATGTTTACAGTAGCACAAGACTGGTTACCTTTTTTTTATTTAAAAACCTAGAAAACCAATGTTGCACTTAGCCAGACAAACATTTAATTTCCTACATGCATACCATAAGTCAGAGGTATGGCCTTGATTAGCAATTGTCACGGCAGCTGCCTAGCAGCATCTGGGACTGCAGGACCCAGAGCTGTGTGTGATGTGCACATCAGGCCCAGTGTCCTACCTGGTTTGTTAAACATACAAATACCCATTTTTGTGTGAGTACAGGCATTCACAGTACTGTAATTTTAAATCATTTTGCAGTAGAAAGTGCTTATTAAACACAGTAGGCCCATGGTTTTTGTTCAGGATGATTGGGCAGATAGCACTGATTATTGCTGATATATTCAGAATAAGGTTTCTAAGACCTGTGCTTCTGATTAGCGGCGCCTGCTTTTGCCTTTGAGTACATTTACTCTGAAACAATATTCAAAATCCTTGGCTCTCTCTAGTTCTGTACACAGTCCTCTTCCTACTTTAGGTTTGTGACTACTGCAATTGCAGGGCAGTTTTTACGTATTTAGAAGCTAAGCAGCCTTGCTTTAAAATGAGATGGGATGAACTTTTGGTCTGGCTGTAGAATCTCTGGGTTTGTAACATCACAGAATGAGTTTCCTGAAATCCTTGTGTTTAGGGACAGTCCCTATTTTCAAATGATGGAAAGTTGCTAAGTAATAACAAGGCTGTGCAAATATGAGGCTGAGTCATGGAGGTCTCACAGTGAATGGTTCTTTGCTGTGTTTTGAAATAGTCTTTCCAATTAAAAATAAGTTGAAAAGATCCAGCACAAAATTCCACTTGTATCAAAGAAGGGTCAGACATAAAAGAAATTGCATAGAACCAAAACAAAATACAATTTCAGAGCTTTTAAATTTATTCTTTCTAAGACTAACCCTGCCATTGTAGAATTGAACCACTGACTTTATACAGTTATTTAATGATGCTGATGGATGTAGAATTTCTGTCCAAATATCTGTCTGCTACATAGTAGAAATGGAATGGGTCAGTATATGGCCACTGAAATCAGACTTCTCATCTATTTCAAATAATTTTCTGATATAGAAAAAAATAGGGAAAAATATTCTACAAAAAAAAAAAAAAAATCTCCCAAGGCAAACATTTTCAGTTGTGCCAGTCACACAGTGGAATATTAGATCCTGTGTACACCTCCTTGGGAAGATGTGATTTCTTCCCTCCCCAGCAAAACATTAGACCACTTGTTCAACTTAGCACTGACTCATAAAAAAATCCCTAAATCTGGCACTGAATCATCAGTGACGTTTCCTGTAGGAATTCCATTTGGGGGAGATCTGTCTGTTCAAGTACAAACCTAACACAGCACTACCTAGCTTAGGAGGCTGCTGCAGTCACGTCTGGAGGCAGTGTGGTTGCAGGTAATCTAGAAAATATACATTAAAAACCAAAACAAACAAAGCAACACTTCAGCCTGTGTTCAATTTCCTAGCACCTTTAAAAGCCTATACTGAATGAGAGCCACACTTATACTGTATATAGAAAACAGAAAATGAAAATATAACTATGTTTAAAAAAAAAAAAAAGCTAACAAGTGGTAGCTGTGTTAATTCTTAAGTTTTAAAAACCTTGCACGAATAGAAGGAATGGTACAGTCATGTTAGCTCAGGGCAGAGCGCTGTGTTCCTAAAGCTGTGCTGGTGCCAGGACCAAATGAGAATATTTGTGCTCGTTAGATGAGGTCAGCAATCAGCACATCTGATGACTTGAAAGCAAAGTTATAAATGAGACTTGTCTGTGAGGAACAGAAGCTGTTCCTCACCACTGGGCAGAGCTTGCCTGTCTTATGTTGCCAAGGCACTGCCTGTTTGTCCCAGCTACTTGCTTGTGAGGCTAACACCACTATGGGAGATGAGATTGGAAGTACACCATACCTCTTTGGATATGCCACTTCATTCCATGTGCAGGATAATTACTACAAGTTCTTACAAATTTGAAATTTGTTACTTGTGCTGCAATGCCAAGAAACCGACATGTCCCACAGTGACTGAGGAATCAATACACAAGCTTGAATACGTTTTTAGCAACAATGTGACTATTATAGAAACCAAATATTCCACAGCTGTTCTCTTCAACCATCCAATAGTTGTTCACAGACCCTTAACTATTTCCACTGGCATTTCTTGCCATCATGGGAAGCCCAAACTGTGCTAATTTTCACAGCAAAGCAGCTCCTGGATTCTTTCGATATGGGGCATGAACAGAGGAAGCAAACACAGGAGCATGAAAAAACAGTTACTGTTGGCATCAAACAGATCCTTTGCACAAAAGGCAAGCACAGCTTCCAACTGTAATTATTCCCATTAGTCAGTGAGGTGTGCCAAGCCAGTGCTGGAAGAAATGCCCAGCTTCTTTCTACAAGAGTGACGGTTGGTGAAAAATATTATCTAAGTTAAGGACCAAGTTAAGATAAATCAAACTTAGAGTGAATGCAACCACTCATTCAGAATTGCACTGAGCTCAACATAATAAAATAAAATTACTGTGCTTCTACCCTGCTTTGAAGGTAACTAAGCCATTTTTTCTTTGAAGGTACCTGCATTTTGTATCAGCTAGCATAAGAGAAATTCATTAAGAGAGTGATATACAAGAGAATGTATTTTGAAAGCAGTGCAGATGCTAGGGATGGGCAGTAAGAACTTCAGAGATATCGGCAAGCTCTCCTCACAGCAGGCACATAAACACCTCCAGTTCCAGTCCCTGCATGTTGAGGCCCTGTGGGTTGTTAGTGTGGTTGCTGGATTTGATCGTATTCTTAAGGTATCTACTCTTCAAAACTTGCTTTTTAAGAAATCTGTCGCCTGTTTCATCTTGTATGTATAATTTTTTAATATATATTTTAGAGAATGAAACAGTGTTCGGGAAGTTCTCTGAAGTGTTGAATAGAGCATATGCATAATACACTACGAAGTCTCTCTGCTTATTCCTTTACTTACACAGCTTTTATAGGAAAACAATAATGAAACAATAATCGCATGCAACAGGAGATGAAGCAAAACAGGAAAGTCATAAAAAAATTCTTAGAACAGACCAGGAAAAAAAAAATCCCCATTACATGTACTTGTGATGCAATCACGAGTCTGGGTGTTAAAAAAAATAAATGCAAATTCTGAGAATTCAGTGGCTTAAAGGCCAGCAGTTTGATTTGTGCATCACAGCCTTGTTTCTCTTTAGATACTTTCCAGGATTTATTAAAACCAGATTGGTTTTTATTTTTCTGGTCTGTTGTCCATGCCAAGGGCTCCAGGAAGGGAAGGCACGGTCTTGCAACCACCTGTGACCAACCAGCAATGTGGGTAGTGGTTTGGTGCAGTGGTTCCTGTGTGGCAGTACTTGGCAAGAATGAGAGCAGCTTTTCAGAGTTTGGTCTCTTTCAAAAGAACGTGAAAGATGCTCTTTTAGCCGCTTGGCATTTTAGAAAAGCAGCATGCTTGGAAAACATCCTTCATACATAAACATAATATGGGATGAAATGCTTTCCAGTCCACATCTCTAGGCATGTTTTGACTACATGGAGCAGTGGAAAGCTGTGCTTTCCCTTGTTTGTATGTGATTACTGCATGCAAACGTGCAGCCTCGGACTTTAGGACAGCTCAGCTCCTGCAGGAAAACCCTCCCAGGCAGGAATCATACGAGCACAGAATGGTGAAGGTTGTAAGGGACTTAAAGATCATCCAGCCCCAACCCGTGCCGTGGGCTGGCTGTCCCCAGCAGCTCAGGCTGCCCATGGCCCATCACACCTGGCCTCGGGTGCCTCCAGGGATGGGGAACCCAGCTCTGGGCAGCCTGCGTTCAGCATCCCACCACCCTCCGAGTGGGAAATTTCCCCCTAACATCTCACCCAGATCTCCCCTCTTTTAGTTTAAAGCCATCCCCTCTCGCCCTATCAAAATTCCTATCAGGAATCTGTCTCCGTACTGAGATTTAAGGTGAGGAGGACATCCGATGCTGGGCGCTGGCCCACGCAGGAGCTCTGCAGCCACCACGCCAGGCCTGGAAAGGATTTTCCAGTTTTTCCCCGGCCTGTCTTTGATCCAAGACAAAATGGGAGGCGTGCGCAGCACCCGCAAAAAAGGGGAGCGCCGGACTGCAGCAACAGCCGGGATCGCCGGCAGCACGGCGTTCCGCGGTGACAGATCGGGGCAGCCGCTGCCGTGCCGAGCCCAGGGCAGCCCGCCCGCCCCAGCCCCGCGCCCCCGGCCCTACCCGCGCCTACCCGCTCGACCACCGCCGGCTCCGCTCCCTCCGCCCGCCCGTTCAGCTCGTGGCTCTCGCCGCTGGAGTCCATCTCGGCTCTCCGAACGGAGCAGGAGAGGCCGCCGCGACTGCTGCCGGCAGCCTCCGGGAACCCCTTTTGTATCGGCTCCCCCGTCTGGCCGCGGTTAAGAGAGAAAGTTTCCGGCAGCGGAGAGGAGGGAGGGCCGGCACCGCGCACACACCGCCCCGGGGCTGGGCCGGGCCGAGCCGGGCTCTGTGCGCGGCGCTGCGGGAGCGCCGTTAGCGCTATCGGGAGCCGGGCTGTGCCGGCTGTGGGACCGAGAGAGGTTCTTTCTGCTGAGCTCTTCGGTAGGCAGCAGGGCTGGCAGACCGCTGAAAATGCTCTCCAGAGATCCATGCCGGCGTCTGGGGTACGATGTACCCCTCAGGTTAACGCCTTCAAAGTCGTCTGTGTTACAAACTGTTCTTCTCGCTGGGTTTAATTCAGGCCCTGAACAGTGCTGAAATATACTTTACAGAACATAAATAAATGCATACCGAAAACAAAGTATAGACACGGCTCCTGCTAGGCCATGCTTGTAAAGAGACAATGTGGAAGCATTACTTTCTGCTCCTCAATCATCAACACAGGATTTTGGCAGAAGTAACTCCTGTAGGAGGAAGAGCTGGCTGCACTGCTTGGTGCAACAAATACAGAGCTGTAGGACCTACTCTTAGGAACATGTTGCATTTGCAAAAAGAGGTCTGGGCACTTGGCTGTTCTCACTTTACATCAGGTGTGTGCTTGGAAATTGGTCCTTACTCTGAGCCTCACAAATGTGCTCTGAGACGGTGCCTCAGCTGCAAGGAGAGGAGGAGGCTCAGCTATGCAGGAATGCATCTTTGGTCAGAAGATGTATGTGAAGTCTTGAACAGCAGTATGTGCTGCTGTGTGTCTGCCTTAAAGTGCAGATCTAGGGCTGGTTTGCCACATCGGACAAAATATCGCATGCCATGTGACTGCAGCTTTCCTGATGCAATAGGTAGGCATGCTTCGTCTTCGTCTGATGAATGAAAGCATTACTGAGAAATGAAAGGGTGGAACTGTGGCGATGGCCTTAAAGTTTTATGAGTCTTTGTGATTTTTCTTGTCCTTTGAACTTCCTCCACTGGAATTCCAAAATTTGTGTTCATGTCAGCATTGAGGTGCAATGTCTCCTCACTGTTGACTTTTGGTTTTGAGCTTACAGTAATTTTTTAGTTAAAAGAGGCATAACTGTCAGCTGAATTCACTTTTAGATTTCATAGAAAAGCATGCAGACAACCAGATGCGGTAAACACAAACTAAGCGCAAGTTAGGCTTCCAATCTTAATGCTAAAGGTCAAAGAAGTTTCCAGTTCAACTCTTCTCAGAAACACATTGAATTAATAATTAATTTTCTTCTTAGAAAATCCCCTTGATGAAGCATGCAGTTACAAGTTACTGTCTTCAATTGGAATTATTGAATTGGACTTTCTAAGAAGCCCTCATCCATCTTGCAGCCCTCTCTGCTTCTCTATAGGACAGCTGGCTGGAAAACACTTATTTGGAGAGAGAAAGGAAGTTTTGTTATTATAGTTTATAGAAAATGGAAGAAGCAACATATGAGAGCAAAGATATTTGTACCTCTTTTCCTTATGGTGAGGAGAATATACAATAAAAGCAGAAGAACGGACTTAAGCTCTGAAAAAAAAAACAACAACATTCCTTGCATGATTTTGATCCAGTGCTGTGTAGAACCTCACCCGCAGCATTTCTAGTGTGTGGGAATACTCTATTAGTTGTTTGGGTGGTGGTACAGCTTGTCAGGGTGGGCACAATTGTTTTGTTAGAGTAAGCACAGTGAGAGGTGACTCTGGGGTCACTTTGAAGCAAAGCTATAAACTGCACCATGATGTCAGCTGCTATAAAGTCCGGTGCTTGAAAAAGCACATTACTTAGTTTTAGGATCCATAGTACCCGAATACTGGTCGTGAACTCAATTAGGCTGGCCTTAATCAGACACTTAATCAGTTAACTTAAAAGTCATTGAACATGCTTGGCCCATGGTTGCTGTGGTATAGTTGCCAAGAAGAACTGGTTAGAACCCTTTCCAGTTGTAACTGTCCATTGATGTTTTCAGAGATACTGGATATTACCAGTTGCCCCTTTTTCATCTTCTAAAGCTCTTGGCAAATGCATTTTTATCATTTCCATTGGTAGTTGTAGATGTTTCATTGACACTGATGAAAATATTCTGCCATTAAGCCTAAAAAATTAAAGATCTGCTCTCTGGAGGTGTCACTTAGGAATGGAAGGTATCCTGGAATGGAAGATGTCTGTCCTATCTCACATCTGTATTGCATGGCTATGTACCAAAGAGATTTATGCAAACAGAACCTGTTGTTAGCTTTCTGGAAATGGGTGCAATCCTTCTGAAACAGAGGAACAGCTTAGCCTCAGTCTGTGAAATTACCTGCGAGCCAGCATTTGTGTATGGTCTGGAACAGTCGATTCTGCATTGCACCTTTATGTTGTTGTGCTCATCAGCTCAGTGTCAATTTTAACAATAAACTTTTTAACAATAAACAATTTTTCCTGTTACCCAGCCTTTGGGTTAGTTCTGCTGGGTTAATAATAACAACAACATATTTTGCTGTGATCCACGTAGAAAAATAGTTGCAGACTCAAGCTGCTGGCAGAAGTTAATTGGCTGGTGAAGCGATCAGTTTGTGGCCATGTGATGACAAAACTATGTGGTAGGTCTTTCTTATTTGTGTGGATTTGAGCATAGTCATTATAAAATGAGAACTCTGCAAGTGTCATCACATGGGTCTGAGTCAGGAATTTTGATGAGCGTTACACAGAGCGAGTGCTGGAGGCTGCAGAGAGGGTCCTGGGGACCACTGTAACCACAGCCATTGGAACCTGGATGGCAGTTTTCAGGAGAGAAAAGATGCGTTGTTCTCCATCTTTGCAATTTGGTTGTTACAGTCTGTGTTTGGCACTTGAGCCATAGGTCATGAATAACTTTTTTGGTTTTGGTTTTGTTTCGGAAGTGCTCTATGTGACAGGTGTGAAATGATGCTAGAATACTAATGAAACGTAACCAGAGAGAACAGCATTTTGTGGCTAAAATCGCAAGGTTTTGAGGTGGCATTTTTAATTTTTTTTATTTTCAAGTTAGGCCTTCATTTTCCCTGAGCAAGTACTATTTTGTGTCCATAGAGATGGTGAAAGGAAGCCCACAATAAAAAGTACGTAGTCCTGCCTATTGTCTGTGGTCACTATTAAAACAAGTAGCTCTGCAAAGTGGTAATTCTGCTCTAGAGCACAAGTTTAAGTAAACAAAGTGTTTTTTTGGCATGATTGCTCTATGAGAAAAACAGATCAGCCATTCAACAAAGTAAAACGAGGGAAAGGAGTAAGGAAAACACTGGTACTGAAGAAATGAGACAGCCTAAGCTAGCTGACCTGAATGGAGAGGTTGTGATTTAAAAAACAGCGTTTGATATCAGATAGAACCGCCTCCATCAGCACATCCTGCTTTGTTTTACTGGCTTGTAAATTTATTATGTTCATGAAATTTTATTTCCGTGCTCTATCAGCTCTCCTCAGCAAAAAAAGGCTTTCTCTCTTGAAAGATGTGTCGTTAGTTTATTTCGTTTGGGAAGGGGTGGATTTGTGTTGGATTTGTGTAGATCATTGCAACTATTTGGGGCAAAAGCGCATTATTTTGTGCTGTTTCTTCCTTTTTTGGTTTCCTGTTGTTCCTCCAAAAACTTGCATTTCCCCACCAAAAACTGCATTACACTCTCCAAAATCCATTGTTCTAGAATTAACATTAAAAATAAATAATATATGTAATGCTTGGTTTATGAAATATGCCAACCTTTCTCCCACAAGCTTAAGTTAACTGTAAAAAAATAGCTATTCATAGTACCTGATCTCTTCTTAGAGCATGACTCCTAGCAAACCCAGGGAAGAGCCTTACTCTTTTTCTTTCTGTTTTCACCTGGATTATATGCTTACTTGTTTTCTTGTGCTCCACTGATCTCACCACCTTGCTCTTTGTGTTTAAGTGATCTGCTCAGGGACAGGATAGACCAAAAGGAGTTCCCGTGATGCCGTCTGTGAATGGCATGCCAGGATGCAGTGCGGATATTCTCCACGTAAAGGCAAACAAGAGATCTGTCCTACCTTCCATTTTCATAGAAAAATGAAGTTGGGTGGATTAAAAAAACAAACAAACAAACAAAAAACCCATTAAATTGAAGAAAAACAAAGGAGATTTGCATGGCCTGACAAATCTCTTGTTTTGCAGTAGAACTGCAAAATTCCCTGCAAATTTCATTTATCACTCTACAATCAGACTCTTCTTGTATGTCTGTCATCTAGCTCCCAGAAAGGCAATCTGCTAAAATAACTTCATAATGTATACGAAAATGTGATGTTTTCTATTTTGAATGGTGCCTGTATGAATTATTTCTCTGCAGTTGGACGTATCCAGGATGTAACTGACACTGCAAACTAATCTTCTGTGGTTTATTTTGTGTCCAGCAGCCATGATACATAATTTAGACTTGACCTGTTGCACAGCTTTTCTCTGCAATATATATCTATATAAGTGGAGTTTACATTTGTGGGTGTCTAATACTAGCATGACAGAGAGGCTTTCTGTGTTGTAGGCAGATAACTAATTCTCTACCACTTAAAAGTAAGCAAACATTTTCTCCCCAAGTAAACAAGCAATCTATAAACAGGAAAAACCAACAACCAGTGATCAGTGACCTTTCTGTAAAACAGTGGTAAGGAGATTTATTGAATCCTCCTCTCTCAGGTCCACTTAATAATAAGCAAAGAACATTGCAAGTTGCTGAAATTGCACCAGAGTAGCTTCAGTTGTAGGAGCCTGCCTGGCAGCCCCCAAGAGCCAAGAGACGTAGGTGGTCATGGCAGTGCTGGAGTTTTGAAAGTGTTGTGAATGTTTTGAATTACTATGAGAAATGGAGAAAGGCTGAAGAGCAAGGCATATGATGCTAGCTGGTGTCCTTCACGTGTAGCCAGTGGTTCTGGAATTATGTCAAGCTTTTTTGCTTATTCACATGAAGTTGCTTTCTGGACTTGATGTATGAATCCACAGGAAAATTCTTGCCAGCGTAAAGCAGAAGATGAGA